TACTATAATATTGTTCAACAGCTTTTTCTAAAAGTTTGTTATAGTGTATATTTATAATAGACTTAATTAAATGTGTTTTTTATGAATAATTAATAAAGATATAAATACTTCTTTCTCGAAATCTTTTTTTAAATTTAACCTTACATTTTGATACATATCCTACCCAAAGTCATAAACGAAGTGAGCTGTCAAACCTGCATAATAATTGTAAACAAAGTTCGCTCTTTTCCTTTCGTTCATGACGTCAAAAACTAATGAATTTGGCTCTCAAACGCTCTTAAAAAAAACCTAACAGAACGGGACATTCTTTAAAAAACACCAGTTTACTTATCTACAGCTGAGTGTTAAAATAACGGTACATTATTACATATGGAATAAAATAAAGGCTAATATTTTTAACAATAATTTCTTATGGTAAGAAACTCAGTTTTGTAGAGTTGTACTTTTCCACCAGCCCGTGATCGGTTTCCGAAGAAGTTTAGTACATTTGTAGAGCTCAGACAAGCATTAGAAACCTTGGCAGGCAATAGCTTATCAATAGGAGTATATCCCAGTCGACGGTCGGTTCTAAATAAGGGGAATGGATCTAGATTTTTATCAGGTCAAGCACTGTCAACTTGACAGCATTCTCTGAAACTGTTTGAGAATATGCCACTAAAAAAACACTTAACAAACAATTTGTAAACTCTATAATACTCCAAATTCCGAAAACAAACCAGTTATGATTTATTTATGTGATCATCTATGAATTATCTCATACGTTTTCGTTCTTTCGTTCTCAACACGCTTGCTTACGGATACTTTGTACCAGTTTTTATAAGATTCTTTATTCACTGTTATAGCACATGACCCCTATAAATGAATATAATAACTTACAAAGCATAAAAACCTAAAAGTAATTATGTCGTTTGCTTACTGCCAGACAGTCATAACTCAAAAATTGTAAATGCAATTTTGGAGTTAATTATGAAGGCTTAAGTGATGTTGCTGTTGTTGTTGTAGAGGTTATCTAATTTTCGCTTGGGTGGTAAGATTCATATTGGTTGTCATCAGAGTCATCTGACGGAAAACGAAGCTGTTTCGACGGGGTCGGACCATAGGCATAAGGGGATGTGTGAGATTCATTGATTCTAGATTCTCGGAGTAACTCGAACTCTACGCCTGCTATGAGTGGTGGTTTAACTCCAAGTACACCATTTACCATTTTATGAAGGTCGGGGGGAAAGGAGAGATGACTCCTCTAAGGGGACCACACTTTCAACTTTTTTTAAGTCTTTTATGGATAAAATAATTATTCTTAAAGGTTTATATATAAGTTTGATGTTTCTATTCCATATAGTTCCTGAGTGAGGAGTCCTTATGCCGTTATTATGCCCAGAGAAAAAGGTAAACTTAAAAACTTTCAAAGCGATATTCCGAAATAGCCAATTTTGAGTTATGACGGTATTGCGGTAAGCACACGATATATTCAAGTCTGTAATCTGTGCAAATTCCAACAGCGCTGATTCTAATAAATTACCACAATGCAATTTAGGGTCAAAAAACTTTATTTATATATATATACATACATATATGTAGTATCACTTTAGTTGACATCACAAACATATATCTCATTGGAAGAAGTTTTTAATATAATTTTGGCTGACGTAAACTAAAATATAGCAATAAAATTAAGTCTAAGTAAATGATTTTTAATATAAGTCAAGAAGATACCAAATTTGATTGTAATTTATTTTATTTATTTATTTATTCTATATTAAATTATTAACGAGTTCTTCCAATAATGAATGCTTAATTGTTTCGCAACATTTTTTATTATAAAGTTTTGCCTTCTTACAAGAGTATAAAATGTTCGATTACACTCGAACTTAGCCTTCACTTACTTGTTTTTATTATTTTTTATATTTACATACATACATACATACAAATGTATGCAAAATTTGCTCTACCTAGCTTAAAGTTTATAAATAACTTACAATAAATAAAATATGACAACTTTTTAAATGCTAATACCACTATTAGCGCATAATTATATATATGTAAGTATACAGCCACAGATTTAAACTTTATTTACATATAAACAGTGCAGTCTCTTCGTCAGCCTTAACCACCCGTTTGCAATCTCCACAACGTATGATAGATGCCACGTAATTGCAAGAGCTCCTTGTGTGAACCACTTTCCGCAACTTGACCGTTGTCAAGTACAAATATCACATCCGAATCAACAATGGTCGATAATCGATGAGCTATACTAATGGTTGTACGTCCTTCACTGACCGCGTCCAAAGCCTCTTGTACAATCTATGCGTGTAGTTGACATTCAAATTTTTAATTATTCTCTACTTCTTTACAGAAATCTTCAAAATTTACATTACCTTTTCACTCTCAGCATCAAGCGCCGAGGTAGCTTCGTCTAGTAGCAATATCTTCGGATTTCTGACCATAGCACGAGCAATGGCGACACGTTGTTTTTGTCCACCCGACAATTGTGTACCTTTCTCACCCATACGGGTTTCATAGCCCTGTAATTTGATTTAAACAAAAAGAAGTTAAACTTTTGAAATGTATACAAGTACATACACATATGAATGTCATTTGAGCAATAATTTCGTGAACTTGAAGGTTGTGCTGAGCTAGTGTCAGTAATAATATTGGACCAAGAGTGTTAGAACTAGATATTGCGACAAGTTTTCTCATTACTTTATTTTTTTAAACAAAGAAACGTTTGACAGAATAATATATTGTTACGTGACGTCATTAACGAATGCAGGAAAAAGATTTGTTCACGATTACTATGAAAGTTTGACAATTCTTGTCTCTATCATACTTAATAGAACCTGAACCAATACCTACCAATGGCAATGATGAGATAAAATTGTGTATATTGGCTTTCTTGGCTGCCGCAAATATTTCCTGTTCGGTAACTTCTCGTTTATTATCGCCATACGCAATATTCTCTCTAATGGATCTGTCGAATAATATTGGTTCTTGTGAGACAATACCCAATTGACGGCGCAAATTCGTGAGTGCAAGATTGCGCAAGTCAACATTATCGATGGCTATCGAACCGGCATCCACATCGTAGAAGCGTTGTAGTAGCTGTATACATGTAGACTTGCCACAGCCAGATGAGCCGACCAATGCGATTTTTTGACCTTTCCTCATTTTCATTATTATACCTCTAAGTACTGGTATTTCGGCACGTGTTGGATAACTAAATTTGACTTCCGTAAAGTCCACCTCACCTTCCGCCGTCCATGGCACAAGCGATACACCTGGTTTATCTTGGATTTTCGGCACGCGATTTAATAGTAAAAATATTTTCTTTGCTGCCGTAACACCTTTTTGTAAATTGGGTGCAAAAGCTAGCGCATTCGCGATTGAGGCTGTGCCCATAATCAAAGCTTGTGAGACCCTACAATGTACATGTAGACAGAGTTATAAAAATACCTATATATGAAGCGCTAATTACTTGTGGTAGACACTTACTTGAAAACATTGCCGAATTCCATGCCCTTATTTACGACACACCAGCCGCCATAATACATGCAAGCTGCATACGCGAAGAACATAAGTGATCTGGCCAAACCGTACACTAAGCCACGGAAATGTGTATTCTTCTTAGCTTTCTGTGGGTGAGTTTTTATTTAGCATTGAAATTAAGACGTTACCAAATTTAGTAGAAACTTACAGCCATTGCGGGATTTAGCAAATCCATATATTGTTGGTAAAACATCTCTTCCCGGCCCAAAGATGCAACAGTGCGTATGTTCGAAACGACCTCAACGGCAAGCTTCAAAGAAATGTCATATTATAAAACTTATATTTATATCTGTATTTATTTTTACACCACAATACAACTGCGTTCATACCTTTGTACAATTCTCCATTGCTTTGCCAGTGCCCATATTTTCCTGAGCCATGACCTTGCGCTGCAAAACCGCTGCCACCAAAATAAATGGCGTGAATGCTAACGCCAACAAGCCTAAGCTCCATTCATAGTACATCGATAAACCGACACCTAAGACGATAGTGGCCACTGATTGAACAATGGTGCCGATTCGTTGACCGGTTGCCTATAAAATTATAGTTTGAGTAATCACAACTTTTGATTATTTGTTGAATAGGTATGTACTTACACCTTGAACGGCGGCAGCATCGCCCGAAAGCCGCGAACAAAGGCTGCCGGTACTATTGGCTTTGTCATCGAACCAAGCTACTTCTTGCTTTAGTATTGTCCCAAACATCAAACCCCTAAGACGTTCGGTTAATCTTTCGCCAGCAATACCGAATAGATAAATCTAATAAATACACACATACATAAATTAATGAGTTTCGCAAAAAACCGGCTATAAAATTCTACGTATCTGACTTCACTTACCTGTAAAAATGTTGCTAGACCTACAATAATGCCAGTTACCAAAAAATATAAACTGTATTTATTCGTGTTATCCCGCACATATTGATTATTATTTCTAACGGCCAATACTTGTAGAATTTCACCAAAAAGAATAGCGAAAATGGGCATAGCAAAGCCCATTACAACCGACGACAGTAGACCACCCAATAGTTGCGGCCATTCGGGTTTATTCATTTTCAATATCGGCCAAAGCGACGAGTCGTCAAGATTTTCTTCAACTAAAGCTGCCTCTTCATTTTTATAGTCAACCATTTCTTCATCTTCATCTTTTGTATCGAAGAAATTGTTAATTTTACCGTTATTTTCTACTTCGGCCGGTTCATCACCCAATTGTGTTGTAACCAAATTATAATAGTGTGACTTGAGCTCCATTAATTCGGCATGAGTACCACTTTCAACGACCTCACCTTTATTAATTACTATAATGCGATCAGCACGTCGTATTGTCGATAGACGATGAGCCACAATGATTGTGGTACGTCCTTTGCTCGCCTGAAAATAGTACACAAATAGTAATCAGCAAATTGAAAAATCAGAACTACACAGCAGCAAATACTATACTTAAATAAGTGTCCAAGCTTAAGACGAAGGATGCTATGCTTCCTAAATAACTATAAATAAAATTGTGTACGTATAGATTAGAAAGAGAGCGAAAGTCCACGCTCAAGCCGTGGTAGCGACAAATCAAAAATACACTATAAAATGGCGAGCTATCTACATTTGTCAAGCAGTTTTCATGCAGTTTTTACACGGAGGAAAGAATTCTCTCGACGTCATCTAAAACTCTATATTACACAACTTTAATGGAAGAACAATATCTAGTATTAGTCCGTTCCCACGACAGTCAGGTCTAAGTAACAGGAACGTACCCGGATTTTTTTCCGGCCAAGGACTATCAACTCGGCACCATTGCTCGAAATGATTTCAGTAATATTTTTTGTCGGTACAATAACAATATCTAGTCCTAGTTAACTCTACCTATACACTTTAGACTAAATTGATCTATTGTTTCGAACAGCTTTGCTGTAAAATATACCCTTTTCTAATCCGTCTTTACCTTTTCAAGAGCGGCTTGTACTTTGGCTTCGCTGGCGGTATCCAACGCAGAGGTTGCTTCGTCCAGTAACAGTATTTCAGGATCTCTCACCAGAGCACGTGCAATTGCAATTCTTTGCTTTTGACCACCCGACAACTGTGCGCCACGTTCACCAACGAGAGTATCAAGTCCCTAAATACAAAAAAAAGCTTTCTTTGCAATAATTTGCTGAGTGTAAATGCATTCAAAACTTACTTTTGGCAATTTATTTATAAAAGTATGCGCATTCGCCGCTGTGGCAGCTGCAATGATCATCTCTCTTGTAGCATCTTCACGGCCATAGCGTATGTTCTCATAGATAGTTGTGCCAAATAGTATAGGCTCCTGCCCGACAACACCAATGCGCTCGCGAAGCCAGGTTATATTTATATCTTTCAGGTCGACATCATTGAAATAGACAGAACCTTCTTGTGGATCGTAGAAACGTTGCACCAGCTGTATAATCGTTGATTTGCCACAACCCGATGAGCCGACCAAGGCTATCGTTTGACCACGTTTGATTGTTAAATTTAATTTATTTAAAATTTGCACTTCATCACGTGATGGATATCTGAAGCCAACGTCACGCAGCTCGATATGTACCAAAGGTTTATTTAAATTCTGACCCTTGGGTTCGATTGGATTTATTGTCGGTACTTGTTCGATAAGTTTAAATACTTTAGCGCATGCACCTTTGGCAATGCCAAATGCTTCAATATACGGCGAGGCCAAGCCAATATTCATGGAACCCATCATGACAGAGAAAAATATCTAGAAATAATTTATAGGTCATATTTTTAAGTTATTAATATTTTATAAAACATTAACTTACCGTTATCATATTGCCAGGATCATAATTGCTATAACCTGGAATGTTGTCGTAATTCTTTAAAACCAACCCGACACCATACCAGAAAGCCAAAGCATATGAGCCATAAATGAAAAACCAGAGTAAACCGAAACCCATGCCGGAAAAGAAATTACGTTTGATATTGATTTTCCGCGCGTCCACAATTTGTGATTTATAAGCTGCCACCTCCTTATATTCACCCTCGAAAGTTTTGACCGTACGCACGCCGCTCAATGCTTCCTCCGCAATATTACCAGCCGCGGCATAAACATTCAATTCTAGTTTTGACAATTTCGAAGTGGCCTGAAGTATGAAATGAGGCATGTAAATTGGCAACAAACTTCAAATTTATTTAGGTAGGTATGTATATCCTTACCACAGCAACTAAGCTAAGCGCTATGAATGTAACCGGCAGACTGCTAAGGCAGACTAAAGACAATTCCCAGCCTTTATAAAAAGCTAAGGCCAAAGAGCCAATAAAAGCCACAATAAAATGCACAAACATCACATCTTTCTCAGCGATACCATCCTCCATTTTGGACAAATCTCTGTGTGAAGATTTTTAGATTTATATATAGAGTGTATACCGATTAGTTGCTAATAAGATTTGCAATTAGAATGATTCAAATTTACTAGTTGTAAAATTTGAAGAGATATATTTATAAGCTTTCTATTTATATATATGTATTTATCAGCATGGAATCCATAAAACAGTCTCGAACGCTTTAAACTGTCGAATACCGTTCAGCGTCTTGGTGGACTGTTTTTAAAGCAATGGATGTTAAAGAATACATTACTCCCATATTACTGTGGTAAACCAAAATCATATGCTTATAGGGTGACCAAAAACCAGATGATTATAGGGGAAAGTAATCATAGTGGTGATACATGGATGTGTAATAGGTTGGAAGAAACTCATAAATTATATTGTCCCAGCTGCCTCCTAATGGCTGATGCATATTGGCAAGATTCGTCTTCATGAAATTTTTTAAATACACTACATGCGACACCGGTAAGATCTCTTTAGAAATAGCTTTTTTGCCATTTTTGCATTTAATCTCGGACAAGTTTTGGCCTATTAGTCAAATCATGTGTCTTAATATGCCTTACTTATATATCAACTACGTTATATCTTATCCGATATTTTAATTTGTTTTGTTTAATATTTCTTTATGATATTTAAAAAATTAACAATAATTTCCTTATGTTCAATAAATTATGTCATCTAAACATTTTTTCTTTTGTAAATGTCAGTCAAAGCCACGTCATTCATATATCCATATATCTATTCATTATGTATTCATAAGTATGTCCTACAAAAAATAATGTCTCACAATGACACAGCAAAGAAGTTCTATAGTGTTAATTTTTCGTGATATTTCTACAAGATACACCGTTGTATACTTGATATTTTTGCAATGCTATTGATCATGCTTTTTGCAGCGATTAGATATAGATACATATAAGTCTATACAAATGCATGTTTGTAAATACCCAACAGTAACACATCAAACTGGTCTACAAAAACAGCAGTTTACTACTGGAATCCGCTGACTGATATCGAATTGATTAGAGAACTGTCAAACTTGCACCTATTTTTTAGAAAATGTATATAGAAAGAGAATGGGGGTGAATCAGTACTTTTATCTACAAATGAATTACGAAATACTGAACAAAATTGTTGCTGAGATTATAGTTTGAACTAGGTATTATGTAGCAGCTCTAAACCAGTAAGAAACTGGCATATTTCTGACCGAAATCAGTTAATTGACTGATTGTGGGATATCAGCACGTAAAGCTGTCAGAAAAAAAATGTTTGCTTAAAATAAAACTTGAACTAGGTATTATGTATCAGCTCTAAACTAGTAAGAAACTGGTATATTTCAGACCTAAAACCGTCAATTGGCATTTTGTTGGGTAACAGCAGGTAAAAATGTTAGAAAAAAAAGAACATAACATAGTTACGCTTGTAGCTTATACTGATTGAAAAGTAATTCATAACTAGTTCATTTTACTACAGGTTATGAACGACATTGTGTGAGTGCGCAAAATTTATTAAGTGCGCATGAAAAATGTTATCAGAAAGCTGAATTTTATGAACAAAGGCGGCTCTGTAAAAAGAGTTAAGGGGTTAAATTATCAACTTAGTCAAACCTGCGTCAAAAGTAATATTCGTTGCAATAGTATTCGCTGTAATTTTTATTTTTAAGCAATAAATCGAAAACTATTATCTTATCTCAGCAAAAATAATATATAGTTAGGTTTAATGCACATATTATACTTGATATATAAATATGCTGATAGACATAGAACCATAGCAGGCACTAAAAGTTTTCACGCCCAATTAGTAATAGTATAGAACCATAAATGTTGATAACTTATGGTAATAAGTATGTATTAGAGACGAGTCACGCTTCTGGTAGAAATCGAAGAGTATGGTTTGTGCAACTGTGCGCTCGAAAATATTCTATACTTACTCGTTCATTCTGCTAGCGACTTCACCACTCTGATTAAAGTCGTACCACGCCATGTCCTGGTGTAATACGGACCTAAGGAATTTTCCACGTATCCGTAATATTTGTGCATTAGCGGCGTAATTAAATGTTGTTACCGATATGTAGCTACAAACAAGCATAATTATGCCGATCATACTATTTTGAAAAGCAAATGTTTCCACAGCCTCTAAAAGCGCGTCGTTAGCCGCACTGCTCGTTATATTTGTAGGACTGGCAAAACCGATCATTGACTGAACAAAAAAGAAATAAATGAATATAAGTTATATGCATGCTACAATCCTTCTATAAATATCGTTTTAAGATTCAGCAATGAATTTTCAAAAACTGAAGATTTTTAATGATGAAAATTGTTTGAAATGAAACTTAAAATAGTGAAAATATGACAAAACGTTAAATTCGGCAGCACCGAAGCAAGCCCTTCCTTCACAGTTGCATTTCTTATAGCATAAAAGGGTATAAAGAGATTTTTATTTTATTTTGATCGATTAGTTTAAACGCTATAGTATATAGTCCGATCTGAACAATTTATTTGCAGAATGTAGCAAATTAGTAATCCCTTAGCTGATAATCTATGCCAAATTTAGTGAAGATATCTTGTCAAATAAAAAAATATTGACACAAGAACTTGATTTTGATCGTTTAGTTGGTATGACAAATCGGAATTGGCGTTTTCGACAAATGAGCAGCTTCTTGCTAAATTTCAGACTCGATTTATTTTGTTCTATAATCGATAGTATTCGCAGCGCACGCTATATAAGGACTTAGGCAAGAAATAGAAATGCAGCAAACAACCTTAAAGGTACTCTTGTTAAACTCACACGAAGTTTCGTTTGTAAAAAAATACTTTAAAAAATTACAATTTTTTTTCTTGTTGTTGTTTTGTTTTGCACCCTTTTGCACTTAAATTTGTACATTTTAGGACTATTAAAAAGCTTACCGCATATAGGCGTGAGATAAGATAACTGGGACACTTGCCGAATTTATTGTCTTACAAAATGTATAGACAATAACATGTATACATATACATATGCTATAGAAATATATATATTTAAGTGCATATCAACTAATTCGTAACCATACACAATTAAGTAATGCAAATAAACAAAGTGTTAAATACTTACATTTGCTAAATTACCAAAAATCAAGCTATTGGCAGGGGTTGTCAAACCAGTTGCTATGGCACAGAGAAATCCCAAGGCATACAAAAGCTTATCCTTGGTTGTTGAATAGCGAAACATTTTGAAAAATGCAACTGGTTCCACATCATCCTTTTTGTCATCGTCTTTATCAGCATCGCCCTTTTTGGATTCCTTTTTTTTCTTCGTTTGCTTTGAATTTTCTTGCGATGCGCCATTGGAGATTTGCCTTTAAGAAGCAATAAGATATATGAATTTGTATGTATGTGGTGCGTATGTGATAAGTAAACGCAAATGCAATGTGTGTGTGCGAAACATTTTTTATTTGCAATTAATTATGTTAGTTTTTATATGCAGGTCATTATATATTTTTTTTTTTAATGCCTGTTATAAATTATTCTGAGTGATCTGAAGAGTCGTAAAATTAATATTTTTTGTTTTATGTTATAATTTTTATATAATTTTTTTTTTTTCGAAATACATCATATTTTGCTACTTCATTTCTATAATATTGTATTTAGGTTAATAAAAATAAAAAAATAATATTAGAAAAAAATAATAAAAAAAGTTTTTTGAGAATTAAAAATAATATTTTTTTATATATATGTAATAAAGTTGTAAATAATCTTCAATACAAACGCAAAATTTTGGAAAGTTTTTGTTCAAATATATACATATGTATGTATGTATACTTTTTTCAAACACTTGAAAATTTGAAAGAAAATATTTCTTATCGACAGTTTGGGAACCGCTTTTATATTGCTAATTTTTATCTAACAATATTCCACCTGTCAATCAATTAATAAACAATATTACACTACATACAAAATACGCTCTATATACAACTATGTACGTATACTTATGTACATATGTAAAATTATTATCGATAACATAAAATCGAGTGCATAATTAAAGCGGAGCTGACACGTGTGAAATCTTAATCGTTAATGAATTAAGCGCCAACAGCTCGTGTTTACATACATAAGTACATACGTATGTTTTTTTTTATGCATATTTTTTGTATATGCATATTTTCTAGTATCCATAGAACTTTTCACTTGCTTCGCTCGTGCATATATTTTATCAAAGCGATATGTATAATTATGGCCGACTAATGGCCCTACAATAAATAAAAAGTTAATCATAACATTTTGCATTTCAACATCTTATCACAAAATCGCTTATAATTTCATTGGAAAAAGGCAAAAAAAATTGTTTAATGATATTATGGACTTGTAAAAATAAATTGGATTACTTTTTTAAATTAAGTACAAGTATGATGCATACATTTTATTTTTAAATACACATTGAAAACTTTTAAATACAATAAACATCAATACAACACTCCTGTTTTTATTTTTTAACTTTATTAAATATTATATAATCATTTATATGAAATATTTTTTTGATTAATTATTTTTAAACATGTTAAAAAGTTTTAATTACAAAAATTATATTTACATTTGTTATTTAATTATTAGTTTTATTAAAAAATGAATTTACAACGTTAAAGTTGAAAAGAGCAAAAAACTTTTTTTATTTTATTTATTGCAATATTTTGGAAAATTTTCTTAGATATGTTAATTTATATGAAATAAATTTTTCTAATAAGCTTTTGTCAAAAAAAAATATGTTTATTTCCAAGAAGATTGATTATTAATGCATCGAATGAATTTCAACTTAATTTCAAATTAATGCGAATTATGCGTTTCCGCCCCTTCTTTTATATACCGGTATATTTATATAAATATTTAAAAATATTTTGAATTTAAATAAGACAATTTTGTGTGAATATTGTGAAAAAATTTTAATATATGAGTCCGTATACAATATATAGACCATTATACATATACCTATACATACATATGTATGTATTGTACATAAATTAAATTTCACAAATGTTAATATTAAGTATATTTTTAAAATGTTAGTTTTCATTTGCTACACTTCGGTAACTTGTTTTATTAATATAAAACATTATGAATAATTAGCACACTGAGCCTTAAATTTGTAATTAAAATTCTTCTTTTCAATGTTAAAATCAGACAGCCTAAATAATTAATCATACGCCATGGTGTACCGGCAATAATCACTCGCTGCATTACTACTACCCTCATTGCCGAATTTAGCTGGCTACTACTGCTACTATTCATAAATAAAAACAGTATTCAATACATTGACAATTGAATTCGAAATTTTAAAAAAAATTGTTTATATAGTTAACGAATTTATTTAGGTTACTTAACAGCTACAAGTTGCTTCGCCTTAGCAACTATCTGCTGTACAAATTATTGAACTATTTTTTATCTTTTCATTGTTTGAAATTCGTGTTTAAAACTATATAATATTATTATACATTATATTTACTTACTTTCAATAAAATAAGAATGACTCTTAACGCTATTCACTTGGTATTTTTGTTTACCTAATTTGTTATGTTGTTATTTGCGTTCATGCAATTCGCTGATTAGATGCACTTTAATTGTTTATTAAAAACAAACCACTATAAACAATAACTGCTTTATAATTGACGCAAAGCGTATGTAAGGCAGCAGAAATGTGCCAGCGTTCCAATTGCTTTCAATTGGCATGCATTTGTGTTCACTTAATTCTTTCATAAGAAATTACCTACCGGGAAAGCTAAGTGGCGCTATGGGTATTTTTGTACACTGTGTTTTGAAAAATTAAATGCAGCTTGGTAGTTTAAGCCATTTTCGTATTAAATTAAATTTAATTATTTCAACTTATTTGTTTTTTTTTAATAATGTGAATCAGTTTTTGGAAAAATTTTAAAACCTTTTATAACTTATTTTTTCAATAATGCTACTGGCTTTTATAGCACAAAAATCGTATCACAAATTTTTTCAAGAAGTCTACAAATTTATTTTAGAATATTTTTTAAAATAATATATATGGTATTTTTTTTTAATTTTCTAACAGTTAAATAATTTTTCGCACTAAATTTCATTACATACATATATTAAAATATTCATATTTTGCAAAAATGCAGCATTTTACTTGACTAATATTTTTAAGTTATAATAAAAGTGTTAATAAATTTGTATATTTTATAATTATGTATATTTTTCATATAATTTTATTATTTTTTCTTTGTCTTTTTAATCACATATATTTATTTTTTACATTTTTATGCTTGTGTTCAATTGCACGTGATTCCGTTAAATGCTACTAGTGTAAACTTATTTCACAAGGTAACGATGATTTGCAAAATTCAAATAGATTATCGATTTATAGCTGTACATACATATTTATGTCTGCATACTTGCTTGACTCACAGCTGGTTTTACACAGTTTCTAATCAACACGCTCAAAAACTCTATCGCTTGTCAGTAAACGAATGTTTACGATTTGTTTACGCAACACACACGAATTCGCTTCGAAACTTTCACTGGTTCAAACTTACATTATTGTCTTAGTATCCTTTTCATTTTCCGCCAAAGAATCAGCAATTATGATATTATTTTTGTAATAGGACTTTTCGTCCTCGCCTATACCGTTAGCAGCCGACATAATGCGCAGCCCTTATCGATCGTTCGTCGATAATAGGGTATGTTCGATTTCTGCAAATGCCCACGTCTAAATGCTATCGCACTAATTGACTGACTGAAATATTTTGGTTGCCAACATGTGGTTATAATGCGAATATTATTCGCCTTAATCAGCGCTTTCATATTCATAGATAAGTTATCGTACGAACGGACTAATGTGTAGTGTTTACACATTGTTCAATCGGCTCAATTAATTGGTGGACATACAATTTCTAAGTTATAAAATGATTAATCGTTTTGAAGTGTATTTTTATAGGTGTGTATATGTGTGTGCTAGGAATTTTTGTAACTGTAAAACAATGAGCTTACAGGTACGCAAATTGTCACTATTTACCATTTGGAGTAAAACTTTGTTTTTGTAAACAGACATTAGGGTGGTTCACTTGTTATGGAAACAAAAAATAAGTTATTTTTAATGAAACAAAAAAAAACTTGAACTTTGGCTGCACCGAATTACAGCTTCGTTACCCTTCACAGGTGCATTCCTTATATCATAAAAGGATAGAAAAATATCTTTATCTTGATTTTATAAATTTAATATAATGAGTTGATGTGAAAAACGTCAACTAAAATATCCGAATTCATTATATTAGGTATACGAGGTTTAGACCAAGACCAATTTCATTTATATATCGCCAAATCAATAATATATGTAATTTTATAATATTTAAGAAAACGTTTCTCCGTTTTATTAAAATAGGTATCACACATTTTGACCAAACTAAACGGTTTAAAGTGAGGTGAAAAGTCGGAAATCATTTTATAGGATATATTAGCGGCAAAGAAATGGAACGGTTGAATGCATGAATTCTTCACATTGCTCAGGTATAAGGATAAAGGAAGTATTGATCCGATTCAACCCATTATGTTATAATCAAAGAAACATTTTCCCCGAATTTCAATAGTACATCTCACAGATTGACCGATATTTCGGGCAAAAAGTCAGCCATATGCACTGCCGTCCACATACTTGTATTTGGCGTCTGTTTGCTTGAAAATTTATGGTCCGATTTCGAAAAGTTTTGAGTGTAAGATGACATACCTTCTTGTCTAAAGTTTAATCCGGCTACATTGATTGGTTCTTAACTTGTATATTGGAAAGTGAAAGAATTAGATGGAATTTAAAATATTGTGTTATATGGGAAGCAGGCGTGGTTTTTCTTAGATTTCGCACATTTTTGCACTGTAATGTAGGAATGTCAGGATAATATTACGTATCGACTTTGGTTGAAATCGGTGGAGTATATCCTGAGATATGGAATTTCGCCCAAATGTGGACGGTGCCACGCCGGTCGTCCAAATTTGACACCGGCTCCTATAAAGCCCTCTCGTACCGTCTCGGGTGTAAAATTTTATGTCTCTGAAGTAATTAGTTATTGATTTATCGCGCTTTTAGTAGTTTTTAACAAAACCGTTATATGGGGAGAGGGCGGTGTTATAATCCGATTTCATTCATTTTTGAACTGTCGGTAGGAGTTCTTAAAGAAATTGTCTTGCCCGAATTTGGTTATTGTAGCGTTAGTAGTTTAGCAAATATGTACAGGAAGCCTATTAAAGGGCGGTACCAGGCCAATTTTTAAAAATTTTTAGGTCGCAGGTGGCTTTTACTATTGCAATACCCTATATCAAATTACAAGTTTTTATCATAATTTAGTGCTTAGTTATGGCAATTTATAAGTTTTTGATTAATGGCGTTTTGTGGGCATGGAAGTGGTTCGATTACGCCCATCTACGAACTCGTCCCTTCGAACGGACGTACATCATCCTGATAATTTATATATAACCTTATATCCAATTTGACTATTTTTAGGCGATACATGCAACCGTTAGATGAACAAAACTAAACATGTTCGTGAGTGTTGCGTAAATATTTCGTAAACATTCGTTTACTGTTAAGCGATAGAGTTTTTGAGTGTGTTGATTAGAAAGTGTAAAAAACAGGTGTGAGCCAAGCAAACATGCAGGCATGCATATGTATGTACAGCTATAAATCGATAATTTATTTAGCTTTTGCAAATCATCGTTACCTTGTGAAATAAGTTTACATTTGTGGCATTTAACGGAAGCACGTGCATTATTGAAGATATCGGGCCAATTAAACAAGTTTTCAATAAAGGACTTAATTTTTATCGAAACAGTTGAATGACAGCTATATGCTATAGTGGTCCAATATCGACGACTCAGACAAATGTGCAGCTTCTTGCAAAATTTCAGATCGATATCTTGAATTTCGAGCAGATCGAACAGACGATCAAGGCCAACTCAAGTTTTAGTTTAAAACCATATGAATATTTAAATGGAGTAAAACAACCTGTTTACTCTGTTATGATTCTTACACTAATAAATTAATTTTTAATGCCTCTACCAAAAATATCCACAATTAATAAAAATAATTTCTATCACCTTTCCGAAATCCCATAAAAAAGAATGTGAAAGTGTGTGAATAAAATACCATTGATCGTTAGTACGTGATTGTCTATCGGAAGATCTGTGGGACTGCGTTCAAGTGATACCCTTTTGAGACCAGGTCTGTTGCTTATTCATTAAGCAATGATAGCCAGTAATCGTATTGATCGATTCAACCAAATTAACAAAACACAATAAACGAAAATTTTACGCCATTCTTCAGGTTCTATCTATCATGACGTCATTTCACAAGCATGCCTGATAAACTGGGGTGTTCGGCTAAAAAATGCTAAGTTCATAAGTTAATAATCGTTACTAATCTATGGACAGATACGATGCATTAACTATTTCGTTTCCTTCATGGCCCAATTAATTTCACTACACATATACAAGTAGGTTTATTATACGCTAAATTTATAAAAGATAATTTGTAGCTCATTCTTGTGTGTTGATTTCTAAACATACTTACAGGCGCTAGCTAAATAATTGCATTATTTTTCGGTCTAACACAATGACATTCAATTTTACACACAGACAATTATTCACGACTAAACACCCTGTAGGAAAAATACTAAATTTTTTATTATCTTTGTAATTCTGAAAATTTTAAGTTTTTTTATTATTAAATATATCTTTATATATAAAAATGTAGCGAATTTTATAGCTACTTTATTCGACAATTCTTAAAGTTCGAAAATCAGAAAATCAAAAAAATATTTTGAACTATAACTTTTTATATGTTTTTTCTTTCAATAACAAACTTTAAATATATATACCTAAAATACGTTGGGTAGTCTTATTTCCATGTTCAGCTGTAATTTTAGCGAAATCATCAATTACGTCACAAACATGTCTGATCCCTTCGATGCCTCATACATATATATTATTATATATTTCATTATCTGTAAATACCCGTGTGTGAATATACACAAATATATTCATTCATTTTTTATATTTTTTCTTTACAGCCAGACAAATACGTGTAGAAAAATATATACATACGTCTTTATCTCTACAGCTAATACGCCTCTGTATATATGTACATATGTAAGTTTTCCAACTTGCAAGTACATTTCTATGTAAGTACTCATTTCAAAAACAAAAAAACAATTATTATCGGTGATTCAAGTGCATGTGTACTTAAAAGGTTGTACTGAGAAGCAACATACATATTTACTGATATGAATGTATGAAAATATATATACACCGGGAACTGGCAATATAAAGTATTAAGATTCTTCTAATACGTATTAATAGATTAGTCAGCAATGTAGGAATTACTCATTAAACGTTGAGTTTAGTGAAAGTTTTTATTAACCAATCTCATAAACATATTAACACGTCTCCTTTATCTATGTGAATTGTGCACAATTTTCGTGACTGGCTAACCAATATTTTAACCGTATGTATAAAAAATCAATTTTTTTTGCGTAGTTCAGATACATAAAAAAGTGGGAAAAACCCATAGCTTGGTTTTTTGCACTTGAGTATTTTTTACATAAATTTTGAGGTTAGGTGGAAAAAAGTTTTAACACGAGAGTTGTATGTAGTTCTTTTTTATTCCATTCAATTGTTTTCCATAGGAATCAAGATTTTGCCGAAAATCGGGATAAACAGTTTTTAACCCTTACAAATTCAACCACCCCCCTCAAATTTCTTTTCCTGATCTCAGATTTTAAATTATTTTTCCTTTCATTTTTATTGTTTAAAATTCTTTTTCCAATAGGTTTCATACTAGTATGATTTTTTTCTTTTATGTATTATTATTTATGTGAAAAGGGTGCTAATACAAAATTCTTTTTATTATCTACAACTATGCCACATAACTTTTTTCTATCGAACTCGTAGTTTTGGAAATCACGATAAAAAGTTTTTAACCCTTAAAAAACCACGTGTTTTCTCTTTCCGCCCTCAGATCGCCCGTAAATTATTATTCCATTCACTTTTGTTATTTTATCTTTCGTTTTCAATAGGTTTTATTCTCTATGAATTTCTTACACTTTTTACCAATTTCAAAGGATTTTTTTTGATTTTCAAAAAAGCAAAAATCTTTATTAACAATCAAAAACATAATTTTGAATACTCTTTGATTTTCAATAGAATTCTTAATTAACCCTCGAAGTCTCAGTATATTATATAATTTATTATATATTGCGATTATTTTCTGTATTACCAGTTAAAGTATTAATTTTTACTAAAAACCGAATTATTACCAAAACCAGAAATGGTTTTTCTTGATATCTCAGCAAACTTGGAATCTTCACTAAGTTCTGGACGAACTACGTAGACGAGACTAATCAATATTGCAAAAGTCTCGTTAGCATCCTATAGATGCCACAATATTTTTGAAAGTCCGTTAAATACAAATTGTATATAAAAATTAATTGAAAAAAATCGAGTCCCTACCAAAAAATCCCAGATGTCATACATCATGTAAGTTGGGCTTAATTTATTATTTATTTATTTTTTTAATTTTGAATGAAAGCTTTCTTTTTGATACTTGCGGCTAAATGTATACCATACATACATATATTCATATGTAAAGTGCATACAACTGTTTTTAATGCAGTTTCAATGTCCAGCCGTGTATAGTTTTAAAGTTTTTCATTGCTACACTTTAATTCGTTGAGTGCTCATCTGGGATAAGAGCAGAATTTGTCGCTCATAACATATGTGTGGAAGTTGGTGTGTAAGTACATATGTACTGAGTGTATTAATACGTCAATTTTCGCGCTCATCGGCCGAGCATGTGCTGATGTTAATATTTTGATTACTCTGCACTCTAACTAAGCGGAGTTTATGGCACGTCCTGCAAGGTTGGCACGCTAAATACATACATATGTGAAATTTGAAAAAAAAAATAGTTTCTAAAAATATTAGAGTTAGTGAACTTAGAGAAGATCTTAGAAGATGACTTACCATAGATGAGCTTAACAACACGCAAATCTCAGAACCAAGCTCTCGATATGAACTTGTCTACAAACTTCGCTAAATGTTTTTTGCAAATTTTTTTTATGAACAAGAAATTTTTAACTTTTTGACTAAATAACTGTTACAAAAATATGTTTGACAGATTCGCCTGTCGATGATAGATACCACGAGAGTGAGTTTTACAGGGATGGCTTGAAACTTTTATTTTGCAAAGTACTGTCAACTCTGCAATATTCTTCCAATCCATGTGTAAAGAGCTGTCAAAATTGTTTAGTGGGATATATAAAGTATGATCAGCGTGATTGAGTCGATTTAGCCAAGTCCATCTGTCTGTCCGTCTGTATATATGCGAACTAGTCCCTTAGTTTTTGAGATATGAATCTGAAATTCTGCACCCGTACTGTACTTTTCGCGCCAAGAAGCTGCCATACAAACTGAACGATCGGAATCAAGTGCTTGTTTAGAAAGTTTTTTTCATTTGACGAGATATCTTCACCAAATCTGGCATAGTTTAGTGTCCAAGGCAACGTTGCAATGTTCAAAGAAATTGTTCCGATTGAGTCACTATAGCATATAGCTGCTAAACAAACTGACCGCTCAAGTTGTAAAGGGTATTATAGTCTTTTTATTTTTTATTAAATTGTTGTTGTACTTTTTCATATATGTAGGTATTCAGCCACCCTTGTATTGTTATATATAGTACTGACAGTTGGCTAATCGCAAACACGTCGTCGCTCCAAAAGAACTGAAACCGCAAACCAGCAACATATGCGTGCACTTGAAGAGAGCGGGTACATAATCCAGAAGAAGGAAAACTGAGTACAAATGAACACTAACAACAAGCCGATAAGTGAAATAAGTGAATGTATTAAACAGCGATTACAATAATCTATATATATGTACATATCAATGTACTAAGTAATCATCGATCGCTATCGCCAGTCGTTGTTGGGGTATAAAACCGTAACGTCTCTCTGCTGGCACATCAATACGCGCAGACTATCAATCAACGCATCATAAAGAAAGGAAGCAGTGCTAGCTCCCGACTCGTAAACCGTTCTAAATTGTCAGCGGCAACAGAAAGCGCTTTTTTCTTTAGCTGAACAACAGTGTTTGTTGGTCTTTAACGCGGTTGCGCGCGTGTTTATGTGCGTATTATTAGTGATCGCAAATTTTTTATAGAAAAAAAAGCGTGATTAGGGATAAAAATGTCGGAAGAAAAAGTAGAAAGTGCACAAAAGCGGCAAAATCAAAACCAAAATCAAACTAGTACACACCAAAATGGTGCTGCAATGCAAAAAGGTAAGAAGAAGCAACAGCATTTCAATGAAAAAAAAGTTCAATATTTAAATAAAAATAGCTAATATTAATCAAAAAACAAACATGGAACATAAGCAGATCACGGTGTACCCGAAAACATTTTAGAACATATATATACATACACACAGAAATGTACTCAAAATAATTAAGTTTTATAGCCGTTATTGATAATATTAGTACATAAATCAAGCCATAAAAGTATGTGGATAATCTTTACAACCACAAAAAGTGAACAATCACCGACATTTCATAATAAGACAACAAATAAGTAAGAATCGGCACTTATGTCTGTATGTGTGTAAGTGCGGAAATACACAAATTCGACTATATATTATATATTTAATCTAATGATATGTACATAAATTTATATGTGACAATGGGCGACCTCCTAAAAGTGTAGTGACATCCAAAATAAACTGACGAAAATCGAAAATTACAATAAATATATACATATATATTTGAAAGTCCAAAAATATACATATTAACGTGCAGTATTTAAATGTACGCATTTTTTTCGGCCTCAATGGAAAATTTGCATCTACAATCAGCTGTTACAGCCGTCAGCTGTTTAACATTTTATTATACCCTGAACAGTGTATATTAAGTTTGCCACAAAGTTTATAACACCTAGAAGGAAACGACGGAGACCCTATAAAGTACATACATGTATAAAAAAAATTAACCGCGTGACGAGCGGAGTCGATTTAGGTGCCTGGATATACGCGAACAATTCATTTAGTTTTTCATACAACGATCAGAATATTTGCACACGTTCTTTTCTCCTTAAGAAGCTGCTCATTTGTCGGAATTGTCTGATGCAAGGGTGCAATCTCCGTAAAAATTGTTCAGCTCTTTTTCAAATTTTGCATATAGCTGACATACAAGCTGAACGATCGCAATCAAGTTCTTGTATAGAAACTTTTTTATTTGTGAAGGATATTATAGCTTCGGTGCAGCCGAAGTTAACGTTTATTCTTGCGAGCGTGGTTTCCACCAAATCGCCATTTTCAAACTCCATATTTCTCATTTAAGTAAAAAATAATTAAATTTCATTTTTTCTTCGAACGGAACTCGAATACAGGACCAATGGAATTACACGCATGGCACAACGCGCGCTTTTACGACGGTAACCGTTATAAAGACATTAAATCATAACAGGGAGGTGTGTCTCAGAAATTTTTTGAGAGCATTTTGATCTAATGAGAGTGTGCTTAAGTTTACCAGTTTTGCGCAAATATATTACGAATTACGGCGAAAGCCTCCAAGCCTTTGAGAGACACAGCTAGAAAAAAATAGAATTAAAATAGCTGATTAAACTGATTGGACTGAGCAGCTACACTTTAGATGGCTGGAACTCAAAAACCATTTGAGATAACGATTTAAAAATTTTGTGTGTTAACCTTTAAAAGGTATAAAGTATCGAAATATGAAAAAAATCGATTTTATAAACATTTCACTAGTTGTGCGTTTTGAACTTTTTAGTATAAGATGATGATACTCTAGACACACCCTTAACCCATTTTAAGTTCTGCAAACTTCTAAACTAGTTAAATTTAGATATTTAGAAACACACTTTAAACATTCTCAAGTACCAAAAGTTTTTAAGCTAAATCAATTAAAACTTGTTATTCGATTTTTTGAATTTGATGCTGTTATGGAACCTTCTTACAGGCTCGCTTCATGAATTCTAACATCGTCAAGCAATTTTACTTGAATGCAACTTAGTTATCGCACGTTAAAATTAAAAATTTATTACTAAAATTAGTAAGCTTTAACCCTTCAACGCTTTTGCAGTTACGTCGCAAACGTCTAACAGCGCTTACGAACTCGACTACCTCCGGGAACGTTTACAGCACTTGCAAGATAATGTACTTAAGGATTTCAGAAAGTGTATAAACGAAGAAATCGAAGTTGTTGTGCAGGAGTTGCGTCAACACGAACTCCAACTAAACGAATTCAGAGGCTTCGCCAACTCACAAAACACGAACACATGGAGTAATCGTATTGCAGTGACGGATGACACCCAAACAGCCAATGGCAATGTACCTACTGAAAGATGCGAAGAAATCAATTCCAAAAGAACGGACAACAAATTATCAGGCGAGCATAAAAAGCAACCTCGACCGCTGCCCCACAAAGTGTTCATAATGCGCGAATCGTATCTCACGGCATTACTGGAAGTCGACCACATGCGCACCATTTATCACATATTTGTCGCGATATTGGTGATGCTACTCATACAAAGCATTTCGTATGATTATTTGGCCGAGGGAAGGTCAGTAATTTTGTGATTATATTATATTAATAAAAACATGACTATGCTAAAGTTTTATTTGCTTGTTTGCAGAGTGTACTTCGGTTTGGGCACCTTTAAATCGTCACTGGTGAAAATTGAATATGTACTTGCCATTTGGTTATTGGAACATGCTGTCGTATTTCTGCTCTATTACGCCTTCAAAATGTGGACTAATGTGCGTGTCAAATTGGCTAGGCAACGTGAGTAGAATAGTTAAATATAATATTTTTTAGCTGAGTATAACTAGCATGCTTGGAACCCACTGCTAATTTCTGATAACCAGTTAGAAGTGAGGGATTTTTTTTAAATGTCAAACATTATCAGGTGCTGCTTCCGATCCAATTACGCGATATATACGTTCAAAAGAGAGTTGCTTTGAAAAACTTGTAAAATCATCAAGCGATGGAGCGTATATAGTAAGAGTATGCAGCTGAGTTCAAACTCAACGAAGCATTTAATTGTGCATCTGGTTTTGTCTTTACCAATATATTAATCAGATCTAAATAACACTCATCCCTAGTTTTCTTAAAAAGCTTTTTATCAAGATTCTTAAAATGTAAAAATAAGCAACGTATGACAGTTTATCAAAAATCGTTAATCAAACCAACTCGGTATAGTAATATGGTTCAAACATCCAACGCGCTTACTCGCAGATTCCACGAAGGTCGGATTAGTCGCGGATCCAAATGGTTTAATTTCCAATCACTCTGCGGCATTAATCCGTTACTGGATTATATTGTCTGATAATTTTTCGAACGATAGTTACTTATTGCCACAAATCTTCAGGGAACCACACAATAAAAGGTCTTGCGAACTCTAATCCACAACTTAGCCCAATAAATCTCAGTTGGGTCGAAAGAGAAAAAATCAGCACTGCACTCTCTAGCGGTATTCTATTACGCCTAAGGAGTCGATTCTACACTTCTTAAAAGTATTGAACGTAAAGGAAAGGAACGTAGGCTTGAAAAAAAAATTATAAGTTACTAAAAATTAAGTTTCGGTTTAAAGGAAAATCAACCTGGAGACTTGGATTTTTTTCGATAATAATAAGTCAAAGCCAAGTTGGCAATTAAGAATATATTCCGCACTGGAAACTATAGAAACTTATTTATTTCATACATAATAATTAATGAGGACTTCGTTTGTACTTTTCAGCGGCGCTCCAAAGTTTCTGGTCACATTCCTGCCTAATAACATACATCAGCTCACAGCTACTGTTCGGTTATGTAGCTTCGGTACTTTGCCTTAAGTTGGATTTAACATTTATAACCGCCTCCGTTTTGCTGCTCGAGTCCACGAGATTGCTAATGAAGATGCATGCCTTTGTGCGTACGAATGCTGGACGCGTGCTCGCCGGCAAACTGAAAACAGATGCGATAACAAGTGATGTAGATGACGTAAATAATGCACAGCAGTTGTCACAAGCCATACTCCTGCCAAGCTTTAATTCCTACTTATACTTCCTCTTCGCACCGACACTTCTCTATCGCGATAGCTATCCGCGCACAACGCACATCCGTTGGAAATTCGCCTTGGCGCGTTTAATGGAAGTGATTGCAGTAGCATTCCTTTACAGTTATATATTTGAACGTTACATTAAGGTACAGTACGGAAATATTGGACTTGAGGAATTGAGTCTACGCACTTTCGTCATTAAACTACACAGCATGGTTATGCCCAACAATATCATCTTTTTATGCGGTTTCTATCTTGTTTTACATTCTTGGTTGAATTTCACCGCGGAATTGTTACGCTTCGGCGATCGCATGTTCTATAGGGATTGGTGGACATCATCAACATATGATGCGTACTTCCGTAATTGGAATGTTGTGGTGCATGATTGGCTTTATGAGTATATCTATAAGGAATCTTATAATCACCTGTTTAAGGGCTCAAAGTTACCGGCATCGTTAATGGTTTTCTATACGTCGGCATTGGTGCACGAACACATAATCGGATTTGCGTTAAGACTATTCTTTCCAGTGTTGTTTTGTTTCTTTGGCGGATTTGCTGTGCTTTTGGTATTTCTATTCCGTAACGCGTCCAAGAGAGTTGGTAACTTCGTGGTATGGTTCACGTTAATCTTCGGCAATGGCTTATTATTTTCCTTATATAGTATAGAATATTATGCGCGCCAAAATTGTCCAAGAACTTATGATAGCTGGACGGACTACTTTGTGCCCACAGTGTGGACTTGCTACAACAAATAATAGCACGATAAGTCGAATAAATTTTGTATGTATGTACATACAAGTATATAGCTTTAGAGGTTATAGTAAAGGATAAGACTAATTTTCTAATTAATAAGTTGTATCTTTGTATATAAGCACCTAGATATTGATACAATGAAGTTTCTTCAACAGTCTTCTATAAAAAAGAAAAAAAACAGATTTGCCGTGTTGTTTTTACTAAGCAGAAGCTTCATAGATTTCATGGAACAACAGTTGTAATGTATTTAAAAATTGTAGTGATGTAAGAATTATTGTGTACAAAATTTATACCAATTTTGTATAAACCAAATCTTAATAAAGATACATAGTATATTCTTAACAAACAAAAAATTGGGTTTTATTTGTAATTTAGTTGTTGGTATTTCCCGGCATGCAGGTTCGGAAGGTTTACAAAAAAGCAATGGCGGCGTAATCGGCACTCTACAGCCTTAATGGCTCAATTTCTCCTCCGAGGAGATTCGAGGTGATGCATCTTAAATCAATCGGACAAAAAAATAGTCTTATTCATGGATAATCTAGTACCTGATCAAAACTGCTTTTTTTTTAATTATTAATATAGCTGTGTCAGGAATTTTTTTTCCAGATTTTCGGGAAAAAATTAACTGTTTATAATAAAATCGAAATTAAAAAAAAAAATAACAAATATTCTTCGATGAGATACTGGTTTTCTCATGCTTTGAAATAGCTGTAAAACGAGAACCCTTTGCTAGTTATTAAATAACATGAAAAGTACTTATTGGATATACTTCAAATTTTCAGAGAAATTTTCTAAAACATTATACTGTAAGAAAACACTAAAAAATATTTTTTTTGAAATTTTTGACTACCCCTAATCCATTATATCATTTATAGAACAACTTATATGAGTCAAAACTCGATTCCCCGCAAAAAAAAAATTATATTCGGTATAAAAAAAATCTGATATCCCTATAACCTATTAACCACCATATTATTCACACGGCAATGAGTACGTAATTTTTGTATCGACTGTAGCGAAATGTTATTATAGATTCAACATAAGGTGCCACTGATACAAATATTTTTTTTTATTAAACAATCATGAAATCTTTGTATACGTTTATTACACTATCCAATTTTTGCAAAGAGAAATATATAATTTTATTTGGAAATAAAAAACGTAAACACATATTTATTGTTTTCAAATGTATACGACACCATATTTATCGTTTATTAGTTAAGCTGGCAACTACAACAATTAAAACCAAAATAAAACAAAAAGGACATCGTACAGAAGAATTTTTTTGAGTAAAGGTAAATTTAATTACAACTTTTCGCGTTGTATATCAAAATATAGAAAAAATGATTTATACAGCAGTTGAAAAATATCAAAACATCTCAAATTGGTGTCTGTCTTAAAAAATTTGAGTGAAAAGAAAGCAATTTGTGAATACGTCTAGTTTTTAAAAGATCGAACAACGGAGGAACTTGTAATTTGTTTTTCCGACAAAAAGTCAAAGAATACGAATTGCTACAACAACAATAAGGTAAATGAAACTTAAAAGTGATAACCAACTGTTGGCGATAACAGTATGATTTAAAAATTATTTAATATTGATACTTGATTAATAGCGTAAACATCACTTACTCATTAAACAAAAAAACTGAAAAGAAGGGAACAGCTGACAGTCTCTTCAAACTAAATAACATAGTACAAAGCGGTGCAAAACAAGTTAAATTTTCAAATAATGTTTGGTTCGCGCTGGTCGCGTTACCAATACGACGTGGACGATTTGCGACGCACTAATGCCACAGCATTAATTCTTGAACGTCAATACGGAGATATGGATAGATATGTGCAACGACGGTTGCAAGTGTCATCAGCATACATTGATCGACTCGAACAGGAGACTATACTACGTGGTCATCAAGGTTGTGTAAACTGTCTTGAGTGGAGTAGTAATGGACGCATATTAGCGTCAGGTTCTGACGATTTTTGTGTTATGCTTTGGGATCCATTTCGGAAGCGTTGCCTACGTAGTATAACAACCAAACATTCCGGCAATATATTCTCTGTAAAGTTTTTACCACGACATAATGATGCACTAATTGCCACTGCAGCGGCGGATAGATCCATTTACGTATTTGATGTGAATCATCCAAATGATACTATACTGAGTTGTGCATGTCATGTGGGTCGTGTCAAACGGTTAGCGACAGCACCAGATTCGCCTTTCGTATTTTGGTCTGCTGGTGAGGAGGGTTCAGTTTTGCAGCTAGACACGCGGGAACAACATCGTTGCAATACTGAAGGAAATGGTGTGCGTTTGGTAAATCTTGATACACACGTAAACACACATACTGAGGCCAAATGTCTGGCAATTAATCCTCGACGTACAGAACTTTTAGCAGTTGGTGCGAACGATCCATATGCTCGCATATATGATAGGCGCATGCTACATCTAGTTTCGTCGCTGGTTGGTGGAGGCAATAATCCATTTGTAAACGGTGCAGGTGAGCCCAAATATTTTTTAATATAATCACTCATAATAAAAAATATTCTTTGATAGATGACGGCAATGGCATAATACCTAAGGATTGTGTCACATATTATTGTCCCGGACATATAAGTAAAGATAATTCTAAACTTATTGAGCACGACTCTCGTGCTATAACGTACCTTACCTTCAATGCGACCGGCACAGAGTTGCTGGTAAATATGGGTGGTGAGCATTTATATCTATACGACTTACTGAACGCGGAACAACCAGTGTTTTTAAACTTACCGGAGTATAAACCGCCACCAAGAACTTCAGAGTCCGACATAGAAATGGCTGTTATGCAAGCAAATTATAATTCTTCTTCGCCTATTAGAAGTGCTGCTGAAAATCAAGCTATTGTTGAAAATAACGTCTTAACACAAAGTGCAATTAGTCCCGTCGATGCTCCACAAACGAGTAATCGACGCAAATTGCCCGAATATATTGAACGTTATAAGAAAATGGGAAACGATTTCCTTGAAAACGAAAAATACTTACAAGCAGTTGAAAAATATTCAGAAGCCATTGAAATGGCGCCCAACTGCCCAGTGCTATATTTAAATCGGGCCACTGCTTATATGCGACGACTTTGGTTCGGTGATGTATATGCTGCATTGCGGGATTGCCATCAGGCTTTGCGACTTGATCCAGCCTACATTAAGGCACACTTTCGCTTAGCACGCGCGCTCCTCGTGCTAGGCAGACCGCAGGAGGCAGACGAGTGCCTTAAAGAGCTAATAACTCGCTTTCCCAGCTATGCGAATAATCATGGTATCATGATGCTACGTAAGGACATCAAAGAAAATCGACAAATGTCACAATCACAACAGCAGCAGCGGCAACAACAACAACAGCATGGCAGTGAGCAGCAACACTATAACTGTTTAGAACTGCCCGATGCTGAATATCAATGGCGCAGCAAAGCTAAAGACTATAGTAAACGATATGTAGGGCATTGCAATACAACAACGGACATCAAAGAAGCCAATTATTTCGGCAGCGATGGTGATTTTATTGTCGCTGGTTCAGATCATGAGAATTTCTTTATTTGGGAGCGCAATACAGGCAAAATACGTGCCATCTACAAGGCAGACGTTTCGATTGTCAATTGCGTGCAACCGCATCCGGAAATTTGTTTGCTTGCGACGAGCGGCATTGATCAGGACATCAAAATATGGTCACCAACTGCACCGTCAGCCGATGAAAGACCGAATTTGGTTGAATATGTGGACAAGACGGTTGAGGATAACCAGCAAAAGATGAAAATGGATCCATTTAATATGAACTCAGGCATGAATGCTTTCTGCTTTAATGGATAATGAGTGATAAATGTTAGGTTAAACATATGTTTGCGACAACTCAACTGAATTGTCTAACTAAAATCTAAAACAAAATACATTTAGGAAATAATCTGAAAAAAACACATAAAACTGCTAGCGGTACATGTGGACTAGATTTTGTTTTGTGAACGACACTATGCAATTTAGAAGCAGCTGCATTAAATTTCTTTAAAAAAATTTTCTTCACTCACTTTTGTTGTTGTTATAATTAAGAAACTTCAAATTGCGCTAAGATTTGTTTTTTTTTTTAGTCATGTTATTTAAGTTTATTTTATATATTATATATTTGCTTTTGTATTTAATTCGGCAGCTATGCAATTAATTTGTCCTTTTTTGAGAAGACTATGTCCACTTTGTCGTCCACAAATGTCATAATGTTAGCAATATTATATATACAAGAATTTAGAAATTTATAATTATACTTAGAAGAGGATGGTACTTCTTCGTCGAATCGATAGCGCTTGCTCATTTCATGTAAAGAAACGAAAATAAGCTGATCTTATTATATTTAAGTTTAAATTAACGAGTAAAGAATTAAAAAATTTTGTTATTTTTTTTTAACGAAACTATTCGAAAAATAGAATATGAAAATAACGATAAATATTAAAAGCAAAACCGTACTCGGTTCGACGTAAATTTTAAGAAGGGCCATCTAAATGTAAGCATGTAGCAGTAGAGTAAGCGGAACGCTGAATTTCACTAATCAAATTAGAAAAAAAAAAAACATAAAAATCAAAATAAAGGCCGAATGTATGGATGAGCTGACGCACCAATCAAATCAAAATTTTAGTAGAGCGCAAAAGAGTTGGTACAAACTGATATCAAACACCATATACACATACATACTTGCAATTAACAGAACTAAATGACTAAAAAAAGGCTTCAACTTGACTAAAGCACACATTATATGAAGCTTTGATTACAATATGCTATATGGAAGTAATAGAATCGTCTTATATATGTTTATATTGACTATTTGTTGAGTTGAATCACATTATAATATATTTTTGTTCCAGTTTGCACACCAATTTTTAAATGCTTATTTTTTTTCAAAATGGTTTTAGTTACGCTGTATCAATACACATTTTTGTATGCCGAACGGTTTGTGTCTGCCTTTACAGCCGCAAGAGTTATATTCCTCAGAATGCAAACTTTATAATACTTACTAAAACGAATTATTGATGTGAATACTATATTATTTGTTTTCATTAAAAAGTTATTTTCGAACTTAAATTATGTGTGTTTCATTAACTTTCGATATTAGCGTAAGTACATAACCTTACAAAACCATTCGCCATTTTAAATACACGAAATTTTTACTAAATAATGTTGGAAACGATGCACTATTGCACCCTTTCCACGACAGTAGAGTTTAAGAAACCGAAACGAACCCGTGTTTTTAACCGGCCAAAGACTGTTAAATGGGCCGCATGCTTCAAAATTATGTCAAGAAAGTTTTTGGCTGCTATAACAACAACAACAATATGCATTGTTGCTGCCAAAACAAGAACAAAAACACGAACTGTGCATCAAGTGTCTGGGCTTCGTATTCGCACCGGTTTTGAGCTCCATATTATGCTGTTACAACTACAAAAAGTACTCCGAGTGGCGTTCAAAGCACAAACTGTGGTGAAATGTTACGCTGAGTTACATACATAACAATGCGCTGAGAGATAAAGTCTGCTTAAATTCATATGCAAACTTGTTTCTTGCGCACCTTAACAATTTTTTAAGTATATAATTTTCATTGAAAAATTGATAAAGACACATATGTATATTTTTAAATAAAAACAACAAATTTCTGGCGTTTTAATTTATTTGTGTCATTTAAAAACTATATTTCACATGTACGTATGTATATATTTCTTATATTTTTCATACTATTATAATTATGTTCAAGTATTATTTAAATTTAAAATTTTGTTTTTCTATCGCGCGTCGGTTTTTTCTTTTATGTATTTATTTTATGTTAATTTAAACTAAAAGTTAATAGCGATTATTATGTTTGCAATTTGCATCTGTGTTTCGTTATCGGCAATAAACTGTGGAAAGCGGTTAAAAGTTCGTTACATTTAGCATAATTGGCATGGATTTATGTGTATGTGTGTGTGTAGTTATATAATTTTATGCTTAAAGAAACTGAATTTTTAGGTTATGTATGATAACTGCAATGTGTCTTAGGCTGAAACCAGTTTAAACGCAAACATAAATCGCTGAACACAAAAATTATCAATTATTATTTAAATTAAATGAGCTATTATGTTACAAAAGCTTTGGGGCCATTTACTTATATTGTGTGTATGGTGTTTTTTAATGTTTTCTGAGAATAAATTATTTTGGAAGCAATTCATGTTGAATAGCGAGCCTTACAGCACTTTCAATGTGGTGGTGAATTTGAAATTTTAATTAGCTGAAAGCAACAATATTTTTAATTAACTGCTATAACTTTTTAGTTGCATTTTTAATGAGAGATAAAAAAAGATTATTACACATTTTTTACAACAAAAATTTTTTAATCCGTAAAAAAATTGTACAATGGCGTATGTTGTTTTAATTTGACAGTTAGTAGTCTTATACGCGTATCGAAAGTGTTTTGGGCTTAGCTGGTCGAGTTATTACAAAACAAAAAACCTTTTACAACAAAATTGCGCGTATTTTATGTTGACGTATTGAAAATCAAGAAAAAATATTTAAATATAATATATATACATATATTGTATGTATAAATATAATTTATAACCACTTTGTTGATTATTAAATTAAAGCAAAGTTGTGAAATTGCCAAAAACATAATATTATTATTTAAAACTGTATAAATTATATTTTGCTGCCATGAACGCTGTAGCACTCGCTTCTTGTCTGCATGTTTATATATATATATATGTAGTATAAATGTACGAATAATTGCAACTCTAAATGGGTAGCTTAGTATATCTTAGTGCTAAACAGGAGGTACAATCCCATTCTTAGTATTTTCAACCCTTACATTCGCCTTTTTACAAATTATCCAATTTATTTAGCATTCTACAGTAGTATCGTTTATAGTATTTTTTTTTCTTTTTTTGCTTTTTCATTAATTATATTATTATTTATACACTACAAAATTCTTTATACTCTCCAACTAGTGGCAATTAAGTTTTTTATAATTTTTTATTTTAGTTTAATGTGTGAAAATAATAATTTTTAATTTATATATAAGCCAGTGGTGAGACAGTATTGAGTTGAGTAAAATTACGCACGCATATATGTATGTATGTATATGTAAATGTTTAACAAAGAGTAAAAAATTAAGCAATAATTATTGCCAAAGAAATATATTGTTTATTAGGCAACATTAAGCAATAATTCGGATATTTTTTTGTTGAGCTAAGTGTAATATGTAAACTGCATAATAAACGAGTTAAGTGCATACACAAGTAATCGTTTGGGTATAGCACTCACATGCTTTGTAGTTTCAATTAAATATTTTGTTCAACTATTTAGTATGTTGTGGTAGCTGTTTCTTTTTGTTTTTTTGCATTTTTAGTACTTTACTAAATTTATCAATTAATTACAAATAATTTTACGCATTTAAAATAAAATTTAAACGGCTTTTATTTATGTTCATTTAAAATTATAATCATTCCTTATTTTTAGTTGTAGGCGTATTTTGTTTTTTATTTATTTGTTGCATTATATATAGTCGTATGTTTTTATTTATTTTTTAATTATTTACCACCATCAACCTTCCCGTTTTATGGAACTGGGAGTTTCTGCCAGACCTTTCACTTTGAGGCGATCAGCAGTTTTCAAAAAGGCCGGCAATTGTTCTTGCGAGACATTTACTTCGCCGGCATACATAAATTCTAATATAGCTTGCAGATGTATATACGAGACATCTTTTAAAATAATGATGGGATGTTTCGAAGGGTTTTCCTGTTGGTATAAAAATTGTTACAAGCGTTTAAAAATATCTCGTAATTTCGTTATGTAAATTTCAAGCTATATACCTCCAAAAGTGCTTTGAAATACGGGCTACATGCTGATAGAACCATTTTGTGCGCTTTGCAAGTTTGTCCTTCGCAGGCAAGTGTTACCTAAAATGATAATCATAAATTTTAGTGTGCGGAAAAGACAATTACACAACTGAAATAAGCTGGTTACTAAATGTACGAGTATATCCATCATAAAAATATTTCGTTGTCTATGTTCAGGCTTTAAGGCACCCAAAGTAACCATTGGTGTAGCAATACATTGGCTGTTGGCCGTGTATGTATGTAACTATAGATGTTAATTTACACCTATTTACTTATATTTCAACAAAGCGTTCTTCTAGTTTTGAAAACCTTTAAAACAACAACAAATGCACATATAACTCATTAAATACTAAATGCAACCTAACAACAAGCAGCAATAAAAACGCTGTTGGCGAAACTTCCAAGAAAGCAATGGATAATAAAGAAACGAAAAGAGAAACTCATGGCTCAATGACACAACAAAATAGCAAAAGATGTTTCGTTAAATCGAAAAAAAAAACAAACAAAATACAATCAAGGTAAGATTCTTGCAGTTTAACATTTTGTATTTTTTCGCCGAAATACATGCCATACTAACAAATTTTAATGAAAATAACACTAATATATACATAAAGTGCAATCAATAGCAGAATATATATATATACATATATTATATAATATATAATATAACTAAAATAATTTTAATTTGGCTTTATCAAGTTCCAAATCGTCTTCGATTAATTGTTTCAATATAATGAACGAAGAAGGCTTAAATAGATGGCCACTTAGTTAAGAACCAAAGAAAATTATTATAAATCCATTCCCACGACAGTCGGGTCTACGTAACCGGAATGGACCCGGATTTTATCCGGTCAAGGACTGTCAACTCGGCAGAATTCTGCCGCTACAACAACAACAATATTATAAATTTCATTTATATAACTTGCTGAGACGAAGAAACTCAGAACTCTATTTTGGAAGAGTGGCAGTTTCCTTACTTCAATTTATATTTTTAACTGAGCTAATATACTTTCCTGATGGAGTTCTTGAGCTTATATAGAAATTCGTTTCGATATATGTTATTAAAATTGATAAAAAAAATTTGCTGAAGACACTGAAAGGCCATCCCAATCAAGTCTAATACCAAGTTTATGGAAAATTGGATTAAGCGTTGGTATGCTTGTATTAGCTCAAAAGAAGCCTATTTTGTAGCAAATAATAGATAGATAGGTATGAGTAGAGGTATGCACCGCGAGCTATGCCCTCCCTTAGGTCACAACGACTCATCTAGCGCCAGCAATTGATGAACTTCAATATACTGGAGCAGATAATAAAGATTTGTATTTTTTTTCAACAGCCCGGGTCAAATAAGATCAAATCTATATCGAACTAAGCGATTGTAACCACTCTTCAAAACAAAAATTGCACCTAAAATAAACTAACCTCACTCTTTTTTTTAGGAGTAAAAATAAAAAACTTGTTTTCGCTCTTGGCTATAATGATTTTTTAAAAATTTAATATCAAACAGCAAAATTTTCAAAGAATAAATAAAGTATTGATATAATTTAATTGTGCAGTATAAATTTTAAAATACTTTTATTTTAGACAAATTAGTTTTTTTAATTTAAAAAAGTGCTTTAAATAATTAGTAAATAATTATGGGTTGTCATTATAAAATTATATTATTAATGTATGGTAATTTATAATTATTTAACAGTTATTTAACGCACACACACAATTAACAGCAATATCTTACTTTTTCAATTTAAAAATTATTACGTTTATAAACATAAAAATGTATAATACTTACATCTGTAAAACTTTTCTCGTCCCTCAAATGCCGGAACGAGGTCACCATATTCGTTTGGAAATCGTTCCATTTTAGGAAAAACTGTTGATCAGACGACATCATTAAAGCGGCTTTTTGTTATTTACGAACGCAGTCAGGAAAATCGAAATAATTGTTTAGTACAACACAGCGCCCTTTGACGTTGGTCCAGTCGGGTTATAATAATATGCGAATTTTAGTTGAGAAACTTTCCAAAAGTGCGTATGAAAAGCGTTTTACTATTTATTGATATTCTAATTGTTTTATTTGCCAAAGCTGCAACCGCTTTGCGAAATAGAGTCCAATATGGGTCAAGAGGCGACAACAAGAAATATTCAAAATCACACAGTGCTTTTTACTCCAATACAAACAACTTCACACACTCATGGGCGCTCCACAAAACCTATGCAAACTATACTGTATCGGAAGTTTTTTGTTGGTTTTGCTGTTGCTAGTCTCTTGTTGTTACTGTCGCTGATGCTGCTGCTCCACCGTTTTCAATTTAATTCGCGTTACACATATGTAGTTGTTGTTTTTAGTGGATCACAATAACGCTATACGGCAAATAGTGTTGTTGATCTTTTCAGCGTTTAAATATTATTATTTTTTTCTTATTTGTCTTTCACTTTTGAGCGCGAAGAGAATTCGCAATAGTCGTAACAAATACAAAATAATAATAATATACGAAAACAAATTGCTCTCACGTTGGTGGCTTTTCCTCTGGACTATTGCATATACTGTGTTCAGGGCACAGTTGCGATCAGATCTGCACGCCGTGTATTGCACGATCAGTAATTCAACTCACGAGAGCGTTTCCGCTACTTCTATTTTATTATTGTTGCTTGCTTTGGATACGTTGGGAATTTCTGTAAATAATAAAAAATGTAAATACATATATAAATATATTTACATATGTACATATGTATATGCAAGTATGATAATTAAGTAAATTTCCTTTGCTAAATGAAATCTAATTACACAAAAGCTTAATTAATTGGAGAGAGCGCGTTCTAAAATTGTTAATGATTGACAAATGTAAAATGGATATCTCACTAGAAAGAAAAATATTTAACATATAAATATACGTATATATATTGTGAGCATAATTAACAAAACTTAAAAAATAAAAATTTGTATATTGAATGCTTATAGAAAATATTCGAAAAGTTGTTAGCTGCCGAGCGCACGAGCAAAATGTCAAAACAATGCCCACATATGAAAATCAGTAAAAATGCAAAAATTTTTCGCTCAAGGAAATCTGCTTTTAGTTCAGGAAAAAGCTGCATTCCGCATGGCACTCAAAGTACGCGTTTGTAGTTAAAATATTCTGTGTATGAGTATTCTCTTTGGACAGCAATGCATTTGTGTAATTGTAAATATGTTTGTAGCAATTTTTTGCAAAACAAAATAAAACACAATAATAATAAAAAACACATACTGCAAGTGGAGAACAACAATTAAATAGGTCGCCAATCAATTAGATGCTTTAAGAAATTGAAAACATCTTAGGGTAATCAGTACATACGGATGTGTATGGAAATGTGCTGTTTAATAATTTTCGAGATCTTTCTTGATTAGACTAGTTGCAACACAGAAATGCAGTTTTATGTGTTCTAAGCAACGTCGTAGAGCGAAAACCGTGCTTCGGGGAAGTTTGTAGAGAGTAGTTGGAAATTGTTGCAGAGCAACGTACACCCTTAGAACTCCGGCTACGGGAGAATTTGTCCGCAATCTGCCCCCTTTTGCCTACACTGGTTCTTAGTACCGCCAAGAATATACATATGTTCATTTCCAAACTACATTTTCACTAAGATTTGCAATTCATAAATATCTCGAAAGTATTTTATCAGTTTAATAAAAAAAATGTGCCAACGAAAATTGTAAATTATTTACTATAAATTTCTAAAAGTTGATTGTTTTGAGATTTATAACAATTTACTACAGCAGATATGTGAGGTTCAATCTTCAAAAATTAAATCTTAAGAATAAATAAATACTTTTCCATATGTTAAAAATCATTAATTTTTTTTAAGGTTTAACGAAAACGTCAAACCTCCACAATAAACGCTTATATAGTACACATATGTATGCATGTAGTTAGTGAAGTTATTGAAAATGCAATTGCGCTAACATCATGCATACAAAACCAAATAATGTAAAATGTTGCTTCATACCACAATTGCTCGATTGGAAGCTCCCACAAAACTTTAAAGCCACACATAAGCCAAGTACACGTGCATATGTATTTTTGTTGGCGCTCTTTAAATACATCCGTATATATGACATACATAGGTGTATGCATACATATTTATACAATACAATATACATACATATGTACATATATGCAGGTATGAAAGCATTAAAAGTAAAAGGAGAAAAATAGCAAAGTAAAATGAGCCAACCATGTGCAATAGGCAGTGTGGAGAGCAAGCGTACGACGTTACCAATCCAAGTGAAAAAAAATACCTTTCACTTTTCAAGGCAATTTCTGCGCTGTTAGCTAGCTAGCTGTACCGCTGCAATATGCTGCACTGCATCATCAACGTACAGAGAGTTAACCGACACATAACTGGTGATTCAGCGTTGGTAGAGACTAAAACATTGCCTCATACTACAAACTACATACAAATATATGTAGGTACAATGTAGTAGGTTTTTATTCACACATATGTTATGCTATACCCGACAGTAAATTTGTCAAATACCTTATTATTGTGCTACTAGCCCAAGTGAGTACTGAACATAAATGCTGCGTATTACAGATAGCCGAAATCTTGTTTGAATTTTTATACTAAAGTTGAAATTGCTTTGTAATATTTACAATTAATTACTTTGAAATATTTTACCGGTCTGTAGTTGTTTGCGAAGTCATTCGGTTAGAACCAGTGCTTTATGAAAGCAAAACATACATTTTACTATATGGTTGCATCGTTAAGGGTTTGCCATAAAAATCCAGCATACAAAGCATTATCTCACTTAACACCCTCCCAACGCGATATTTTTTACTCTATCAGTTGATATTTTTTACTCGACAGATCTCTGTCGTTACGCCTGCGCACAGTTTCAGCTTTGAACGCGTATGAAATGTGGAAATGTGTAACATTGGAAAAAAAAAAAAAAAACTAGGAGAAAGAGAGTGTAAAAGTTTAAAGCGCGCTAAATTTAGCTTTGTATTACTTTTCCATGAGCGATTTATTTCACATTTTATTGTGCAACCGTAGCAGTTGCTTTTTTTCTGCCATTATCGCTTGTGTTGTCTGTCTGTTAGTAGAAAATCGTCCAATGAGTTGTGTAAAAGCGCTACGCCAGCATAAATAATGAGTTGCTGTGCAGTAAATATGTTTGTTTGACAAAAATTACTTTGTTACTTCATGCTATAATTTCATAAAAACGAAATTATGTTTGGCTAAAATAATATGTAGATGTTACAACTGGCTGCAAGGTATATAATTTTATAAACTGGTAACAATTTATAAAAAATTACTTATTTCACATATAAAGATGTATATTTCTCGTTCAAGCCAAAAGAAAACACAACTTGAGTAGACATAAAACATTTTCACGTGAAATTAAGAAATGTTCTGCATTGAGAGACACCAACCTAACAGATATGATCATTTTTACACATAAGGGATGCGCTTTGAAATGAATTAAATATCATTTAGTTGATTAAATTTTGCATTTAAAAAAAATTTAAACGATAAAACAAGAAAAAACGCTAAGTTCGGTTGCACCAATGCTAGAATATCATTCACAAATAAAGAAGTTTCCTGCCAAAACAACTTGATTTTGACATCTTGTCAAATAAAGAAGTTTCCATAGAAGAACTTGATTTTGTTAGTTCAGTTTGGATGGCAGCTATAGTGGTGCGATATCGGCGGTTCCGATAAATTAGCAGCATCGTGGGGTGGTAAGGCATATTTTTATAGAGTCTACGACGTTTCCTTTCGGGTTTTACAAGTTGCTTGGCAAACTTAACATATTCTGTTCAGTGGATAAATACACCAGGTCTTTATTATTGAAGAAACAGGCACAGATACTTTATAAATACCATATGAAGATGTTGAAAATGAAAATCACAGCTCGTATACTTAGTCATTTAAAACACTGTAGCTACATGTATGACAAATATATGATAGATATATGTAGTTATGGAAGAGTGGGATTTTTAGATAGTACTTAACGATATTTTTTCTCTGCCTATTCTACATATTTTGCTCCCAACACAGAAAACTCATTGAAACTCGCTATTATTGGGCCTACAATACTTTCGTCTCAATGTGAATTAGCAAGCGCTATGTTAGTAATGTATTCAACAGCAGTTATTTGATTCGAGAGTAGTTTTCCGTCACTCACAGTTCTTTCGCAACTTTGACAACAACACCAAACTAATGGCTTTTGCTGCCAACACTTCATATTGTTGCTGCTGCTAAAAAGTTGCGACATTCAAGCAATCAATGAAAAGCAGAGAATCCAACGAGTCTAGGCTAGACAATAACAATAACGACCAGAAAACATTTCTGTATGTACTTTGGTTATAACAAAAAGTTTCATAAAATTCAAAGAGTAGCAGCCAGCTTGCAACGAATTCTCTTAATTTTTTTACATTCCTTCTGCTGTGAATAACGGATAAAGTGGTTAGAATGTTGTAGATTGATATCTACTTTTATATAAAAATAGATCTCTATTTCGTACTAGCTGGTATTACTGATCTGTATTGTTCGTAAGTACCGTTTGGCGGGAATGATATATTAAACCGCAAAAATATCAATAGTGTTGATGTTGTTTTAATATTGTGGTCGTCTTACTAAAGTAATGTATAGTCGAAATTATGAAGCTTTTCTACTCGAAGAAGCGTTATCATGAATTTACGCAATAAATAAAATGTATGGCCTTCCATACAAGTTAGATGCAGTAGATATTTAAGCATAAACTACTTGCTATAGATTAATTAAAAAAATCTCTAACTGGATTTGCTTGAATGCCGCCCGCACTATCCTTCTAATTTAAAAGCTTGCAAGTTATTAAGCAAGGTATGTTGCATCACCTTGTCGAAAAGTGCACTTCTTGTATTCGTAAAAATTGGTTCTTTGTTTACTTATTAACTTGTGCAACAGCTGGATGAAGTGAACTTTACTTTGCATCTCCTCTGATTTTCAAACATAAAAGCGATATTCATAAAAATCTTTAACATTTCACAATAACAATAATATAACAATATTCACACAATAGGTTCATATATTAAAGAGAAGCAACTTAGGAGAGTTTTTAATTTAATTTAATTTTTTTGCCTAAATGTTAAATGGGAAATGATGTGAATTCAATTCCAAGCGCATTAAAGAGATATGCAAAAAGAACTTGTTATGAATATGACAAATTCTACTCTTAACGATTAATAACCGAATTCCTTTTTATGATTTTCTCCGTTGATAAAGCGAATACGAAGTAGCAATACAAAAAATAAAAAAAAAAAAAGGGAAAAATATTGTGTAATAAATGCACTTCTTGTTTGCCGACATCTTTACAGACATAGGTAAGTATATAGCCTCTTGAGTTTACTATTGCACTTGCACAACCAATACCAGCCGTCAAATTTACCAACCAAACAACGGCTTCAACATGGTCATCAGACGGCGGCTAGCAATACGAACAAAAGTACACACAACGACAAATAGTCACGGCGGCACGGTAGTTTAGTAGCAACAACTGAACAATAAAAGCCCAACTTACATTTCTAGAAAAACCACTTTTTCATAGAAATTGTTTTTTAGGTCGCCTTGGACTCATTTTTCGTTTTTTCAACTACGCCACGCTCACTTCACTTCTTTACTTATTGCTTCTTCGCAATTGTCTGGCTACTCTTTCTCTCTCAATTTCTTGGCTCTTTGCTTTTACTTCAACAAATCCACTGTCGATCAACGACGACGACTTTACTCCATTTACACAAGCACACGCATTCAAGTAAAAAAAAAAAATAAAAAAAACACACACACAAACACATATATTAACGCGTGCACTATTTCATTTTCTTGCTTACAAGAAACTTCTTTCGCAATTTCCTTATACTTCAACAGCGTGAACGTAGCTATCACCCACTAGTTTTTGATGCACTACATACATATACATTCTGCATATGAATTACATCTGCATTATATTAACGTTTTAACTTACGAATAATTTTAACTTCATAAGCACACAGGATCTATTCACAATATTTTGCTTTCCTCTGTTACTCACTAAATTTCATGTATGCATACATGGTCATTTCGTCATTCATTCTTGCTTTCACCGCACCGCTGTTTCCTAAGCTTACCTCTTTTTCAATACTTTTTTATTAAGCACACGCTGGTCTGCTCCTTTCTCTAGTACTAGCTGGCTTGCTTTTTCTTTCGTCTTTCACGGCGTTCAACACAGAAATGCACACCGCACAATTTCTTCTTCTTCCGTTACTTTTCTCCAAGATTTCGCTTCAGCTATCTATTTCTTTCTTTTCCTTTTCACTTTCAACTTCTACTTTTTCGCTTCCTTTATTAAAAGAAAATTAATCTTCTAACTTCCAATTTACTATTTTCATTCATTTATTTTGACACGTTAGATTTTCCACAGTAAGCACGCAATGGTAATTGGAAAGATTCCGCTTGTTTTGCACTATTCGATGCAACCGATGAAAAACAATACTCTACTCAGTCACCGCCTTTCAGTTTCAGCGAGAAAAACAAAATGAAAGTTGTTCTTCTTTCCTTTCGATTATTTATTTTACAGCGAGTTTACATTGAGAACAGTTTGACAGAGTTGCTAATCGGATCTTTGTAATATTTGGCACATTACTAAATACTTGATAAGAACTACACTTACCGCAGACAAAGGTTAAATATTTAATAAAAAATACCTTGCAATCGATACTCTAATACTATTTTCATTTCTGCGAGAATATAATGTTCTGAATTTCCTAAATTTCCCTGTGGATATAATACAAGTTAAAATAAAACGAACAAACCCAATATGTCAGTAACTGTTCCCATGTCTCATTTGTTCCAAAAACCAAAAACAAAAACTCATCAGCTGTTTTGTGTTATGAATTTATTCCTATTTTCTTATTTGCACGTGAATCCACAATTTTGTTGTGGTTTTAAATTAGATATTGACCACATTATGTTAATTAAAACTATTTTTCAAAATGTTTTCGCTTCGACGATCAATTAAATATACTTTACAAAGTTATATTAAACACAATGTGCGCTTTTGTAGCAGCAATTTAATTCGACAGACTGCCAATGAAACCGAAAAGGAACCAAAGCTGTCCGTACGCCAATCTGAATGGAATCTGGCACAGGAGAGATATGCTAAGCATCCTCTAATTCTATATAGTAACAAATTGGAAGAGCAAGAAGAATTTATGACACCTCAACAATTCCGAGCGTATAAACATAAAGAATTAATAAATGAAAAGCTTACATTACGAAATCTACAAAAACAACCACTTATACCTGAGCCACAGCGCAGTGTTAAGGTGGACGATAACAGAGATAACAATTTTCCAAACAATTGGATGGAAGATTATGAATTCTATGAGGGCAACGACGACGAGAAACATCCCCCTTACGGTACAGCCGACAATAATATACAGCCTTCATTAGTACCTTGTAGTGGTTGCGGAGCACATTTGCATTGTACTCGGACTAATTTGCCAGGTTAGTTGATTTTAAATGCTGAATTTTAAACTAAAATAAATTTAATGTAACAAAAATTGTGCACTTTATTTAGGATACATTCCAGCCGAGATATTTGCTGGTCGCACGAATAAAGAACTCCAAACCATAACATGTCAGCGCTGTCATTTTCTAAAGAATTATAATATTGCTTTAGATATTGAAATAAGTCCAGAGTCATACGTCGAAACCATATCCCGGATAAAAGATGAACATGCCTTAGCAATAATAATTGTAGATCTATTAGATTTTCCATGCTCTATATGGCCAGGTATAGGCGATGTTCTTGGCCACAAACGTCCGGTGTTTGTCGTAGGTAATAAAGTAGATTTACTACCACGGGATCATAATAATTACTTGGATCATGCTAAAAGTTGTTTGAAAGATCAAATGCTGCAGTGTGGATTCGACTCACTTAACATTAAACACATTGGCTTAATTTCTGCTAAAACGGGCTACGGAATAGAAGAACTCATAACTCAACTATTCAAAATATGGACATACAAAGGAAACGTTTATTTAGTTGGTTGCACGAATGTTGGAAAAAGTTCTCTCTTCAATATACTTTTAAATTCAGATTATTGCCGTCCGGAGGCTACGGACTTGGTTCGCAAAGCGACGACCTGCCCTTGGCCAGGTACAACTCTTCAAATGCTAAAGTTCCCTATACACAGACCTTCAGATATAAGAATATATCGACGTTTTCAGCGGCTAACTTCCGAACGTTCACAGAAGTACGCTGAGCACGCACTTCGGCGCCAGAAAGCACAAAAAACTGGCGATATTAACACAGCTCGTCTTGTTGGTAAAATTGGTAGGACTTTCGTTAAGAATGAAGAAACTGTTGATGCATTCGCTGTCAGAACCGGAACACAACCAATAGTTACGTTGAATGAAAAAGATCCACGATATCGTGAGGCTAAGTGGTGTTACGACACACCGGGTGTAATGCACCCAGAGCAGTGTACAGAATTGCTTACAACGCAAGAATTGCAGCAATTGACACCTCATGGTATGATTTTACCTAGAGCTATACGTCTCAAACCGGGTATGAGCCTCTTCCTAGCCGGCTTAGCTCGTTTGGATTTCATAGAATGTAAATACGTTGATATTGACTGGGTAAAAGTAATTGTATTCAGCTCTTTACACCTACCTTTGGTTATTGCTCAGACGGATAACGCTGAAAATATGTACAAAGAATACCTTGGCACGGAAGTACTCGGTCTACCATACGGCGATGAGGTACGTCTATCTCGTTGGCCAGGCTTAAAAAGTTCCAATGAAGTTATTCACCTTATAGGTAAGTATGAGGATGCAATCAGCTCCGAAATAGTTTTGTCATCAGCTGGTTGGGTGGGACTAAGAGTCCCTTATGCCAGTGATTGTACATTCAAAGCATGGACACCTCATGCCCGTGGTATTTATGTACGTTCCCCACCATTGGTACCATACGCAGAACGCTTGGTGGGTAAGCGTATACGAAACTCTTTAGCATATAATCTAGGAAAGTCATTTATTTTCAAAAAATAAACTATTCTTCATAAAAACCAATATTTACTTAGCTTTTCTTTACAAATTCTAATATGTTGAGTCAATGTTGTTGTTGTATCGGCAAAAAACATTCCTGAAGTAATTGGGAGTAATGCTGTCGAGTTAACAATCCTTGACCGAATAAAAATTGGGACCGTTCCGGTTATGTAGACCCAAACCTCTGATGAGCTATAAAGTCGCTGATGTTATAATTGCTTGAGTATACCTGAAGCCGCGTTAAGGTTGAATATAAAATAAGAAAAAAATAGATAATGTTTGCATAAATATTTTCTAATCTATTAAAGTACTATCTATAATCTAGTTAAAAAAGTAGAAGGTGTGTATTTTAATACTTTTCGAAAATATTTACAAATGTATTTGCAACCCTATTTTCTTTCCTGCTTCAACAAAAATTTGACATTTCAAAACTTCATTGGGTACATAAGGAGATAAAAATGACAACAAAGAAAATTGGAAGAATTGAAAATTTTTAAGAGAAATTTAAAGATTCGAAGTGTTTTTTATTAGTTGTGCAAAACTTAAATTGATTTGTGCTAGATTATTATGGAACATTAGTTTCTATTTGAGAGGCTATCTTAAGTACTGGAAAACGTATGTAAAAATTTGTTCTAGTTGATTAGCTCGTTCAGTACATAATTAAATTAATAATATAACTTGTAGTTTTATGTGAAGTAATAAGGCGACAAAATGGAACAAAATTCTGTGGACCCATTTGCTTCCGAAAACAGCGGAACTGCCCGCTTTGTGGATAAGTTAGTTGATAATGGTTTAGCGGGTAGCGGTGGTGCGTGCAGCAGCAATAGTGCAACTATAAACGCCACGCATGAATTTCAAACCATGAAACCGGGTTTGGGACAAAAGCCCGGTCAAACGTCGGGACGAACTGAAATACCGCATAGTGAACTAGTAAAGATGCTCTATTTTTTGGAGGGTGAGCTTCAAGCACGCGACGTCGTAATTGCTGCATTACGAAATGAACGAGTCAAACAATATATAACTCAACTGCGTTCGAAACGTGTGCAACCAAATGATCCGTATGCGGCAATTTTCCGTGATAAAATAGCACTAGCCGGCAATATGATTTCGCGAGAATCATCCACACAAGCGGCTCAAGCAGAAATGGAAGTACGACAAATAATTGAACAGCAAATGGAGCAACAATATCAAATGGTTAGCAAACAACGTGCCACGCATTTGCGAATGGTGAACATACTTACTGAGTCTTTGGAGAACAATCAACGGATGTTGCAGGAATTAGAAGAAGAAAAGCGAAAACACGAACATGATACAGCTCAGGGTGATGACATTACCTATGGCTTAGAACTAGAGCGGACTAAGTTACGGCAAGAGTTGGAAGAGGAACGAGCGCAATTGAAAAAAATGGAAAAAGAAATGAAAAAGCTACAAGAAACTTTGGATTATGAACGTAATCGTCAAAAGCAAATTGTTCTCTTGCTTATAGCTGAACGTAAAAAGATTCTTATGAAGTACATTGAAGAGGGTTAGTATTTGAGCTTCGAATTTTTCGTCAAAGAAGCTTTATATATAATTTATTAACTTAGGTAAACGGTCAGAAGACTTGGCGCAAATATTAGCAGAGGAGAAACAACGCTCTGATACTATTGCGGAAGGTCTGGAAGAAGAGAGTAAAAAGTCATTACGTATGGAAGAGGAAATGGAAAAGCAATCTGCTGCTTTCGATAATGAACGCAAAACTCTCAAATTGACGGCTGCCAAGGAAGAGACGCGGTATTTCGTTTGACTAGCTAATTCAAATTGTATAATAATTTTTAAAAATTGCAGAGTTAAAGAGCTCGAACAAGAGGTTGCGTTGCTGCGTGCTGAGAATGAGGCTTTGAAGAAACAGCAGCAGATACTACAACAAAGTGTGGCGGCTGGTGTAAGCGGAACACTTGTTGGCGGTGCCAAAGCTAGAACTCTTAGTGGTGAGCGTGCCAGATAAGCATACAAATTATAGCATGTTAACATAATTTTAATTCAAGAATTATTTTTATTTCAAGCGGAAAAATTTTGCTAAACTCTTCTAACATTATTTATTAAAGTCAAACCAAGTTACCTACTTCTAACCCAATTTATAAAGGTGACTTTATTTATTAGCATTTTATCACTTTTAAAAAATCGCGGCATTATTTTCACTAACACATTTTAAGGTAATCTCTGACTTACAACATTTATGTTCACTATATCGTCATATCTAATTATACATCATAATGTTGGTTGCTTATTAAATGTCAGTAAATTTTGTGGCACATACTTTATTAGCGGCATTTTTCATTTACATCGATATTGCGCTACGTTTTTTTGTTACATATGTACCTAAAACTAATTTATAAAATTTTATAAGAAAACTAAACAATTTCTATTTTACAGATGATGCATGTGCTACACCAATGGTAAATATTGCGAAAATCGTGCAACCAACAGCGACTGTAACGAGTGTACCCGTTTCTGGGCCAACAACCGGCATTGCACGTGCACCCGGCCAAACATTGCGCAGCGGTGTTGGCAACGCACTGCCTGCTATAGCAGTAGCACAATCAGTTGCAGCTGCCATGCCGCTACAAACAGTTGCATTAGCTAATGCAGGCAATATCATCGGTGATAGCGCAACAACTGTAGCTGCTGCAATATCAGCAGCAATTACCTCAACAGCAAACAATTTAACAACCGGCACTGTCGGTGGTGCTGTTGGTCCGATTGTGGCAAGTGCACCACCATCACCATCGCCTGTGAAAATGCAGCCAACAGCAACTATACAGCGTGCCCCAGGTGGTAAATATGCAGCTTTGGCTGCAGCCGCTGCCGCATCGCATTCGCTGGATCAGACGGCGACGGCGCCACATCCAGTGCCAATTGCTGTACCACCCGTTACAGTACCACCGGCTGGGGCACGTGGTGCACCACCACCTATACCACCCAATAAACCCATTGTTCCGCCAAAGCGTGAACCATCGCTGTCGCGTTTAAGTTCGATTGCTGTGGCTAGTGCTGTCTCCGGCACGGTTGGTGTAAATTCAGCTAATTCGGTTGGCATTTCAAACGCTACACCCAATACAAAATTAAATTAAATACGCTATAACCGCCAACACTGTATACTGTTTCCGTATAAACAACTTAATAAGAACGCGACAAATCTAAGATTTACACATAAAATCGGTATTCAATTACACAAAAAACTAAATCAACTATATAACTGTTAAATGCATGTGGATATATGCGTAAGTTGGCTTAGAAGTTTATCTTTTCGGTTTGTGGAAAATTAGTTTAAAAATTAAAATTAAAGAATTCACATTATACCTCGGTTCTTATATGAGCATAACCAGTACACATTATACCATATTGTTGGTATAAATGTTTCAATTTTAATTTTATGCGGGCAACGCTGCTTGCTCTGCAGCTTGTGAAATTCATATAAGCATTATTATTATTATATTTTATTTAAGTTTCGTGTACAAAACTGTGTAAACGTAACATAGAAAGTTGTTTTTGTAACAACACCTGCTTTCTGTAACTGTTAGCACAGTAGTATGCTACACTTATGGTATATATTGTGAAATTTGTGCAACCAACAGTAGTGTTCCTAGGTGGGGTGTATTGACTAAGCTCCAGGTTTTTTATTTAACTAAAATATTACAAAACTCTTATTGACAAGTAATTTTCGAATTATTTTTATTTCTTTTTTTTTTCAAAAGTTTAATATATATTTTATACCTACGATCTTGCTTTTATATAAAATATTTACAATGAACAAACCAAACAAATCTCTACCCTGTAGTCACTATTATACTCTCCAACAAAACAAAATCGAAAAATAATCATGGCCATATATACATAGTTGTATAATTAATAACCGCTAAAACATATATGCGTTACTAATAACAGTTATAAAAAAAAATTGCAAAATTCTAGTATTATATATAAACATACATATAAATATTAATTTGAAAAAATAAAACCATAAAAAAAATATAACTTAACTGAAAGTAGTAAACGCTTGCTCGATTTGGCGAGTGAAAAACAAAAGTAAACAAAAAACAAAAGGCAGCAGAAGAAATTGTTAATGAGGCAATGCGTCAATGCGCAAAAGTATTACATACATACATTCACACGTAATAACAAAGCAACTAAGAATTATATGGTGATTGACGCCAGCAAAAATGAATTACGGTATTGTGAATTACCCGCATCTATTGTGTGAAAATTTAAATATATGTTAAGCTTAATGCCCTTTTGTTGTAGTTTCCTATAGTTTGAATATATATATATATATATATATATATATATTATATAATGAAAGTTATGTGGTATGATTTTTACATAATAAGTAGTTCTACTCCTTTACTTTAAGTTTATTTCTTTAAATGGTAGTATACTCGCCCGATATACATTTAGTTTTGTATTAAGTAATTACGAAATAAACTTTTGGAAAGCATGTTTCCAACGAATTTGTCAGGATATTTTGACACATATGACTCAATAAGATCGCAATATTGAACCACTTGACTTTATCCTACCTACATTTTTTATGTATTTATAATTATTAAGTCATATTTACTGTAAACATTACGAATAGTAACGACGACAGAGCCAATGTAGAAGCCGACTAAAAAACCACAATCAGAAACAACTTATTATTTTTTATGTCTAAATGCGGCGTGTAAACAATTTGTATTTAAGGTTTAAATTTTAAACAATAAATATTGAATGATAAATAGTATTCAACCCATAACAGTGTTTTCAATTATTATAGCGCGTGATAGATTGCGTGCGCAGGCCAAACGTAGTAAATTGATGATTTCCTCAATATTTTCGATGCGATAGTCCTTTAAGATGTTGATAGGTTCCTATAAAGAAAAATTAATTATCAAAATAAAATACATTATAAAAAAAATTAATTATAAAAAATATACATTATAAAAAAAAATAATTACATAAATAAAATTTATAAAAAAAAGTTTATAAAAAAATATTACAATAATTATAAAAAAAAATTAATTATAAAAAAAAAAATTACTAAAAAAAATTAATTATAAAAAAAATATTTATAAAAAAAAATTTATAAAAAAAATTAATTATATAAAAAAATATTTATAAAAAAAATTATAAAAAAAAAATATTTATAAAAAAAAATATTTATAAAAAAAATTAATTATAAATAAAATTAATTATACAAAAAAATATATATAAAAAAAATTAATTACATAAAAAACAATTTATAAAAAAAAGTTTATAAAAATATTTTAATTATAAAAAAAAAATTTATTATAAAAAAAAATAATTACTAAAAAAAATTAATTATAAAAAAAATATTTATAAAAAAAAAATTATAAAAAGAATTAATTATATAAAAAAATATTTATAAAAAAAATTAATTATAAAAAAAATTAATTATACAAAAAAATATCTATACAAAAAAAAAAATAATTATAAACATAAATTAATTATAAAACAAGTTATAAATAATTAAAAAAAAAATTATATTAAACAAAAATTATTAAAAAAAAAAAAAATTAATTATAAATAAGCAAATAGTTTTCAAAAAGAAACAACATACATCCGGATACTTTTCCAGACGTTTTTTCTTCTTATCTATTAGAGGCACCAGCTCGGTTTCTAAGTGTTGTAGTATGGCGCAAGTCTCTTTGGAGAGTATTTTTGGATCCTTCGATTCGAGTAGTGGTATGGAATCAATGAGTAGTGAAGGCCAAAAACTACAAAAAAAAATGAAATGCATCAAATGTGAATACATTTAACATGATATTCTCTAATTTTTCATACTATTCTGGTGTTATTTTCGACTCTAAGAGATTGACTAGCAACTCGGCAGCAGGCAAAAAATCTCGCTTTCGGTAAAATTGATAAAAATCAAAATATTTCACTAAAAATACTAAACGTGGCGATATGAACATTTTTGCGCCAATATTTGCGATCACATCTGGGCAGAGCATATCACCGGTTTTGGAATAGTGCTGTAAAAAAAATAATAATTTCATATTACACAGTTTTCTAATAAAAATAAATAAAAACTACATACGTTTAATAGAAAATCCGCTATCGATGTGACATAGAGTGTGTCTTTCGAGCGTATAGCCCACTCTAAAGCATTGCCATAACGCTGTTCATTAAGTGATTTCTTTGACTGAATTTTACAAATTTCTTGCTCTAGGAAGGCAATTTTAAATTTATACAAGTTAAAATATAATTATATGGAAAATTTTACCAGCTTCGAAAAAGCGCTTCTTCTGTGCGATGCCGATAATTTTCAATGCCTGTTTCTCCGTGCGAAAGGGTATTTTTGTGAGCAGTAGCGCCAATGCGGCTTGACCTACAAACGCGAAAAAATAAAAGTAAAATGCAATTGTATATGTACACTATGCAATTTACCCTCTTGGCCACAATGGTCCAGATAGTCCATGCCTAATTGCCATAGAGAGTTGCGTGTCATAAGAGAACTTCCAAAATCATAAAGTAAACAGTCGCGCAATTTTATGCATTCACTAAAAATAGAATATATTAATATTTGTTGCTATATTTGCATATGCAATGTTTACTTGACTTGATTTTCGCCCACTATTTGCAACTGTCCACAATTGTAGAGCAAGTCCGTGAGATGTGTAACGAACCATTGATTATCTGCCATCAGCTGTATTGCATGTATAACTTGATGCATATCGTTTTCCATGAGACTGAGTATAACACGATCTAACTGTTTCATTTGCAACTCATTACTGTTGTGTCCTTTGAGGCGCGCCCAACGTGATAGCCATGTGTTGGCAGCATTGCCCAATTCGAAATGCTTGCATGCATTATTGGTGTAGAACAGATAACCGGGAAAGAATTCATACCAATATTCGGTTTCCTGTATTTGTGTATTCCACATTTGTGTATCACCTGTTACTAACTGTAAAAAAAATATTTAATTTTTGATTTGCATATTTATTGATTTTACACACCTGAATTAGTTCTTCTAGGTTTGGTTCAATGGCGAGAATATTTGCAGAAATTTTTCGTTCGGTGTCAGTGAGCCAATACTGCCACTGTGAACGGAATTTTTGTATTGAAGTAGCTCCATGCATCTAAAGAAAAAAAATTAAATAATTATTTTAATTTTATGACAAAATTTCCCAAACGGTACTTACACTATAAGTGGGCATGGTTTTCAGTATCTGATCTGTTAGTTTAAAGTGTGCCGTTTCAGCTTGTGGGTGTAGATGTAGCAAAGCACGTGCCACATCTACTTGGCCCTGCATTATTAGACCTTTAAGCGCTGGCCAATAGTCATCGTTGTCACTTGCTTCTCGCCCTAATAATAGAAGATCCGTGGCCATACGTTCCGCAGCAGGAAAATGAAAACGTATCCAATCGAGTAGTTGTGGTACTACCGCATTGGATGGTGTTGCATCCAGAAATAATATTTCACTTAGATGCCACACACATTCAATGGAATAAAATATAGAAATGTACTGTTGATATTTAGCTTGTGACTCGGCATCTTCAGCTTCTTCTGCGCTTGCCATAGCATCTTGCAATTTTTCAAGACATGCTCGTATAATACTGCGATAAGTACGAGATATTTTCATATAATCTGCTTTTGAGCCGCGCTTTTTAAGCTCTTGTAGTGCCACAAATGTGGAATTCGCTTCGGCCACAAGGCTACGTAGGATGGGATCATCAAAGACAAACTCCGGTTGAAGCATATGTATCAATACGTCATCTTTACCAGCAGATTCAGTTGGAGCATCCCTCGTATTACTGGTAATTGGTCGAAAGGCAGATAAAGCAATTTTGTTACCAGAAACAAATTGACCAGTGAGCGTGTTCTCATACCGACTGCACAATGGATCAACAATCGCCTATTTAAAATACAAGCAGAATTATTAAAATGGCAATAGTATTAATGTACGATACTGCTTACAAATATGGCTGGCTGATCTTCCTGCATTGTTGAAGATATTTGTTTATTCGCTTATTTTTCTCGATGCCTTACAAATGTAGACACATTTGGCGCTCGTACTTTTGACAGTTCATGTACATAAGAGTTGCCATATTTTGTAGAATATGTAAACACTTCAAATTAACACAAAACATATAATATAAGATTGTATATACAAATAACCTATATTTGTTTTAATTTTTTGTAAGTACAATATAAAATAAAAGATATTAATAATAGTATTTGAAAAAAGTTTAGTTTTTGTTATTGTTTATAAGTACAGAATATTAATTGTATTAAATTTTTTAAGAACGCCTTTTAATCCGGCTGTGTTATGATAGTTAAATTACAGTTCATAAATTTTTGAATGACCAATCATTAATATTAATAAGTTTCTGGATCAGCTTTAAAAAATAAATTGAAATGATACACAATTTTTATATAGTTTTTTTTTTTATAAAGAAACGAAACTAATGTTTATTACATCTTTAGATTTTTTTAAATATTGTACTCAAATCTTTTAATTCGGTAAATTAGATTAATATTATATTACATAAATGGATTACTCCGATTTAGTGACGGGCGTAGTTTCTGTATCACTAGATACATTCGAATGAAATTGCTTGGCACAACCCATCGAAATTAGTCTTTTTGGATATGAAGAGTATGGCGCTCCCATGAATCGTACTATTAAATCATCGTTATGACTTACAATCTTGACATCGAATGAATGATTGAGAATAAGAGCATTTAAAGTACGAATACCATTCTCACGCAAATCAACAGAAGCTTCCGGATTTTGCATAATATCTGCCAGTCTACATAGTACTGCTTGAAATGGAAAATGCTCCGTAGACCGATCACAGTATGCTAATTGCTTCAGCAAGACATTTTGATAATTGCCATAATCGACATAAAATACTTTGAAGACTTTAACAGATTCATCAAAATCCATTATTTTAGCGCGATACCAAAGCCCATCTTCATATTGAGCACGAACAATATCGTACAACATCGGTGGCTTAGTCAAATGCATACTTTGCGGTATATCATCATCATTCCATATGAGCGGCTCCATAATATTTTCCGGATCATTTATTTGCGCGTGAAAATACTCAATTTGCCCCACATGTGTAACAGTAATATTTATCATAAGACCGGCAGTATAACGTGTCACTGGCGAATAATCATCAATTATAGTTTTCGCTGGTATACTATCCTTAGTCCATCCCTCTGGTTGTGATGGGGTATGCTCTAGCCGACAATTGGCGCCTTTAAAACAAGCACCGGTGTTCGGATCATAAAAACGGCAAAGGCGTTCTTCGTCTTTTGGACTGTAGCCTAGAACCGCTTTCATTGCGTTGGATGTATTGAGTGGTTCTTCAGCTAAACTATCCATCTCCTCTGCGGTCAAACCATTGGGAAGACCGTTGCCCTCGGTAAATATTGGATTTTTGGGTAATGCACATAATGGTATCGCTTCATCACTGTCATCAATGGTGAATTCTGTAGTGGTTTTAAATGGATTTGTGTTGTTTATTTTATCCACACATTCTTTTCTGTTAGTTGAAGTTTCTATTGATGCAGACGTAGGTGTCAATGGTGTTATCGTGGATGTTTCTTCAAAGAGTTCCAATAGTAGTGTACCCTCTCTTTCTTGTTTTGATTTTATGATGAAAGTGGTGCTCTCATATTCCAATTCTTGTAAACATATTTGTAGCTCCTTATGAGGTATATTTTTTCGACCACTGATTCCCGTCAATTTACATAAAATTGCTTGGGCGGGTATTCGTTTTATTTCTGTTGGTAAACGGTAGGTCACGTCTGCGTCGGTTATTGTGGCTGTTTCACCAAAGTCTAATAGTAATACTTGTGTTTTAATTTCGCTTGATTTTATTCGTATAGCCCGTAGAATTGTATTGTCAAGCACAAGACCAAAAACTTCGTCTTTCGGTGGAGTTTCAGTATATTGCTTTAGATGGATCATATTCTTCAAATTTGCGATTTGTTGAAATTCTTTAGATTCCGCATCACATATATAAAAATACAACGTGTCCAAGTTAAGAATATAAGTAACTGAGCCTTTTATTAAACTGCCAACTTTATATTTTGAAATATTCTTTTTTAAATATTCAATAGCGCATAGTTCTTTGCCCGAGTTCTCATTTTCCTCATTTTCCTCCGCAGGTAGAATGGATAAGTTTGTATAATCGTAGATAAGTTGTTCCTCTTTCAAGCACATCTTCGATTTGTTATGTACTTCCCGCTCACATGATTCCAACGCCTCAAATAAGGTACGAGTTGACTTTTTATCTAGATCATTTACAAATAAATGAAAATTAAATTTTCGCGCAACTTCTAGCATGTTCGAAAGTATTGTGAAGTATTTATCATAGGCCATCAAAGTGATTGCATTGCGTTGTTCAAGCGCTTCCTTGTTTTTAATAAATTTTTCATATACTGCATCTATTTTCAACAGGTATTTCGTAATACTTTCTTTAACAAGCTCCATTTCCTCCGTGTGCATTTCATACAATTGTTGCAAATCCTTCAACATTTTGTTATTTCCTCAAATTTAACCCCCCGTGCGAACTAAACTAAATACAATTTTTGTAAACAACAGCAATTTGCACGTTTGTTTAGGTTACGTTGCCACCTTTTCAAAAAGATTTTTCGTAAGATTTCCTAGTGATGACAACATAACTTATAATCAATGTTAATAATCGGTCAACATTTAAGTTGTTAATTAATATAGCAAATATTTTCTCTAATTGTATTTATTAACTAAATGAGCAAATATGTAGCTTGTTAGTTTAAAAATTTTATGACATATTTGAACAGATTTTTGGTTTATGACCGCTTTGGCTACTTTAAACGATATGTCTTGCTGTCTCCTGAAGAACATATATACAACAACGTCAGCAAGTAGTTTCCGTTATGAAGTTTTCACAGCAACCATTCTCATAGTCATCAACTTGGCGCAGAACCGTTTCTTAGGAACATCAAGACTTCTTTCAGGTAATACGTTAACAAAATCAAATACTTAATCGACCTGACTTCGAATGAGCCCAAGTTCCGACTGGCTCTGAACGCCATTCGTAATGTAGTAGTTTGGAAGTCAACCGCTATCTATAGCTGAAAAAGAACTAGAGTAACCTCGTAAAACTGGAAAATGAACCTTTCAAAACTTCGTTATGAATGTTATAACGGGTTTAAATCCTACTTATCCACACTAGACTTTGACATACTCAACAAAAGTTCTGCATGCAATAAGTTCTCGTATGACACCAATCACCTCTTTGCATGCTCCATGAAATCTACTCATCTAAATCTCTACTCCTTACGGTCCGACTCCAACGAGACATCTCATGTCCTGGACCTGGTACCTGGGGATGTATATCCAATTTTTGAAAACTAATAGACGTTACATGGATAGCTGAAATCATAACCGTGGCATTTATGGCGGTTATATTAAGTTTTTGACGTAAAAGTCCATTTAAAAGGAGGAGATATAAGTAAAACCTTTTAATTCGCCCATTTATTATATGAATAAAATCAAAACGAACTCCGCTAAAAAAGCTTTTCCTATCAAAAATCAAACTTTGTAAAAACCATTCAAAATTAAAAAAAAATATCTTATTTCTTTTAACAATAACATTTTAATATAATTTTAAATATAGTATTTACAATGCAGAGAACGTCTGTTTTGGACGTTTACAACGCTATTAGACCTCTGCCGCTGGTGCCTAAAACAGCGGCTGTTGCAGTCGTTGAACTCGAACCAACGAGCCGTCGCATAGTTTGCAGTTCATCGCGTAGGGCCATGACCTGCGCACGCAAAATCGAGTTCTCCTGTTCGAGTAGGGCAGCTCTGAATGCAATACGATCCTCGCGTATTTTTCGTGCATCACGTGATTTTTTTGCTGCCTCATTGTTTCGTTTACGTCGTTCATAGTACTTCTCATCTTTTTGCTCGTCCGGTATGGGACGCTTTTCGCCGCGGGAACGTCGATGCAGGAACGCAGGAAATACACCCACTCTATTCAGCTCCATTAAGGGAAAGTCGGCGATGCTAAGCGCATGATTTGTGGGAGAAATATATTCGAAGGCGGGTAAAGTTGGTTTATTAACGGTCAAGGCTCCACCGCTAATGGGTAATATGCCAAGTGTAGGTAATGGTAACGGCAAGCTGGTATTGCTACACGGGGCTTGTGTTGTTGTTGTTGCAGGCATAGAAGATATTTCGTTGTCGATTGTGGCTGTTAAAGCAGAAGCGTGGATTTTTCCACTTTGTTCGTTATCGTCGTATTTACTGCTATCTATGTGGGTCTCAACATCCAGAGAGTCTGTAGAGTCAGCCATCGATAACGGTTCAATAATATCCAATAACGGTGACTTGCGTGCAATGGAGGAAGAAATAGCTCCGTTCACGTTGGCATCACCAATACTCTTTGTCATGTTGTAGTAATTTTGCGCATCTATTGAATGAAAAATATAAATTTACTCGAAAACATATCGAATGAGTAGTATTTTGAAGGCGACAACATTATTGTCGATAAATGAATAAGTATTTTTTTCAAAAAACGAAAAATTCCGTTATTTTTTGAACACGCCTCGTAGATCATTCTCTTCAATCATATTCAAGATGGTTTCGATAACAGGATTTGTTCAAAAAAAAATGACTGAAAGGTCTTCAGGGACCGGAGAGAGTCCTGTAATGGGAATATTTATGCCAATACTTCGACTCGAAAATCTTTATTGATTCGCGTGACTTTATTGATTTTAATATTCCAAGTATTATGTCTCATACAAAACATTTTATAAATATATTTTCATTTAACGTAATCGTGTTTTACGCACATATGTATACTACGAGTATAATTGCAGCGAGCGCCAATGGGTAAGATATTTAAACTCGAAACTTTGTTTTATATAGAAATGAAAAATTTTTACGAAAAGTTAAGGTCGAACCTGGCGTACCGCCTTTTGTTTTTAGTTGTTGCTTTATTTTTTGCATCGAAATTGGTGTTAATTTACAACAATGTAAAATTTCACTAATTATACGATGTATTTTCCCGACGTAGATAATCGATAATTCTATATTTTACTACTAAAATTTTATGCACTGTGTAAACGGAATGAAATTGATTAAACTAATTGTGAGAAAAAAGAGTTTTGCAAGTTCTACAGACTATCGCAGGTAATTGGCTCGAACATAGATAAGGATTCCACACAAATATTCTTTAGACGACGATATCGGCGGCATCTTTGGTTATGCTTTAAATAGTTAACTTTTTAAATCAGATGTTTTTTAGTAGTTAAACAAGCGCCCTAGGGTTAAGGTTCGATAGCTGATTTTTTTTGTATGAGCACTGACTTAATTTTAAGAGTAGAAAAAAACGCAGAAACTCGTATATTTATTACAAATAATACTACGAGGTATTGCGGTAATAGTTTTGAAACATGTGGCGTTCCCAAGGTTCCATAGTTGCATTTGATGGTTTAACAGTTCTTTTTTTTTAAATCAATACTTAAATCTTTGCATTTAGTTAGATTAACGGTTCTATAAAGAAAAGCGATCGTTGCATCTCAAAATGCATAGTGGATTAGAAAATAATTTCAATTATTAACTGGCTAAATTTCAAGATATCTCTTCGACCTTCACTTATTCTTCTTCGAAAATTTAGCAAGAAAATCAAAATTCCAATTTTCACCGAATTTTCACCTGTATTTGGTAGCATTAACCGATTACATGTGCGTAATAGATGGAATGTTGAAAACGATAAAGGATCAACCGTATTATTGAAGCCGTTTTGTTGTAGCGACGTGTTGCACATGCTCAACGATCAGTTTATAAATTTTAGTTTTAAATTTTTTGTACGGTACTTGTAGTATTTTTAGTTTTTCGGTCTTGCTCGTCCTGTTGAAGTTTTGATACTAAACAAGAACCGTTAGTTCCAATTAACTTGCAATATTTACCAAACCAGTGACGACTGAGTAATTATTACAAGGAGCAGCGATATTTCTACTAGCATGCTATTGCTACATACCGAGTGTCCTGTGAAGTGATTTTAGCCTATATTATAGACATATGTACATATGGGTATCTATCTGAATATATGAACCAGCTATAAATCGCTCTCATTGTGGGGGTGGTGCTCAGCTACAATCTTTCTATATATTTACACAAACTTACATATATTAGTACTTTGGGACTTTTGTCGCTTTGCTCTCCATAGTTCTGATATACAATACACACATATTTCCACTGGTTTGTGTCCATGTTGCTTGGCTTTCAGAGTTCTGATTCAACCAATCACGCAATGTTGACGGTAATTACTCGACGAAATGCATGACACTTTTCATGCTGAATAACACTTATTTGGTTGCACGGTTATAAGGACTTTATATATAACTGGTTATACGTCTATTTATACACCCTCCAAACTTCGATCGTTTCAACTACACACTGGCTTACAACAACAGCCATGGTTGTCCGCGAAAATTTATTAAAGGGGGTTGGGTTGGTTCATCGATTTCGCTCTGCTAATTTTGGCGTCAACGATGCACCATGCTCTTGAAATCGTCGAATCCGACTGTTATGTAAGCACTGTTCCGATTCCCTAGGAGCTAAACATCGCACATGAACCTTATAGACCGAATTTCCATCTGTGAATTGTTGCTGAATCACAAAAAAATAAAATCGGTACATTTCTCAAGCGGATGATTAGTCAATTTCAAATGAAATTATGGCTGTAATTGAATTGCGGTGAGCCGGGGAAAACGTTAAGCAAGCCAGAATTGAGGGTCAGAAAGGGGTGGCTATGTGCTTAGGGAAATGGGCGGGCTATCATCTTATATAAGCTGCTCCCCTACGGCCAAGCTCATAATCGGTCCTGTACTGTCAATAATTGGAGAGATCACAGTAGACAATTAACTTGTCCGTCCTCTGAAAAAAAGATCCATAATGAGTTTGATCATCAAACATTGGTTCCCATTGTCAACACAAATCCTGCAGCTTATCAACCCAATTACGCTTCGAATATACTAAGAGGCTCTTGTGCCCCTCCGTCACTTTCGTACGCCCATGTTAGCCGCCATATACGTTTCTAATGCGAAGGAATGCCTACAAAATAGTCGCGGCTTATATATTACAGCTTGTATTAATCGAACGTTGAAACTGTTTTGACTTTTCTGTTACACACTATATATACTTGTATTAGATAATTTTTAAGCGACATTGTGCTTACCACCAAATGCCAGGGGGTTGTTTTAAATTTTGTACTGCCACTTGGGTTCAGCAAGTTAAATGACTAATCTCGTTAGAAATGCACAAATGCAGCAAAGTTTTCCAACTGGCTTGCCCACTCATACACATTAAATTAATGTTATAACATGCTATTAAGAATTCAAAGGGAGGTTTACATACATAGGCGTAAGCTTATATAAATCTCTACCGATTTGACCAATCAAAACGAAGTGGTTTTTTTATGTACGAGAATAAATATATGTATGTATGTATAAAGTCAGTTCTTAACTATAAATATGTTAACGTGGCGTAGAGAACGACATTCAAAGATAGCCATCAACATAGGTAACGGTGAATTGATGAGATTTTGTGACTGTGATTTGATGCACAGGTCACTCACAATATATCCGAAAGGATTTTACTGCAGTTCAAGTCTAACACAGTAAAATTAATATAACAAATTAAGCTGTGGTACATGCAATAAAGTATATGGCTTTATGATTTTTCCGAAACTATTCGAAAATATTTTTTTCGAAAACTAATTTGTTTTTAGACCAGGAAAAGAGGGAAAGAAATTCATAGTAGGTTGTAACCCACTGAAAACGAAAGATAAACTAACAAAAATGAAAGGAAAAATAGTTTACGGGCGATCTGAGGTCGGTGAGAGGAAGGGTTGAATTTTTAAGGGACAAAACGGTTTAACTCGGATTTCCGGCAAAATTACGAGTACTATAAAACAAAATTTGTAGGTAATGGAAAGATCCAAAAACTCTGTATCAACTTATTTTTCACATAACCTCAAAATTTATGTGAACAATTCAAATTTCCAAGTTTTTGGGTTTTTTATTTTTATCTTGTACAAAAAAATTTTGGTTTTACAAAATTTGGTGTGAACTTACAATATCTTTTTATATTCCAATCACATTGTATTTTTTGAATTTAAAAAGGAGGAAACCTTAATTTTTAACCAAAACTTCTCACGTAAAATATCAGATTTTTTTTTTAAATTCTTCCAAGCCTTTATGTTTATTGAAATCTCTACTTTCTGATGGTTTAAAATATATACTTTACTACGGTAAATTTTATCAAAAAATGCAAAAATAAGACCCCAGCAGACTGAAAAGGTTTACTATACTATATATATACTAGTGTCCTTATTTTAGAACGAATTTTGATTTTCAGCTCGTTAAACTATGTATATCAAAAAAGCTTCAAAAGCTCTAAGCCTTCGTTATTGTAGAACATCCTACATTAATTGACAATTTCCCAATCGCTTTAATTGGAAAATTTTAAGATATCAATTGTTTTTATTCCAAATTTGGACAATCGAGTAGGCGATGAATCTATTCCGTCTATAAAATAGTGATTTTGAACATTGCAACAAAAGCTGACTTTAAGCTTTCATTTTGCTTTATTACACCTTAGACTTTACAAATAGTTAATAGTTCTTTAATATTTATTAAGCTTTTTAAGCATTGATTATTGAACTCTTCCACAAAAGTTCTCTATACTTCCTTCCCAAGTTTCTAAAAATTACCACATAGACCTCATGAAACGATATCGTTCTGTACTTAGAGTTTCCCATATAGGCGAGATATCTAATTTTCTGTACCACCATCTATAGTTTCGCAAATTAATAACTTCGGCTGAACGAAGGCAGAGCTGTTTTCATATTATGATCGAGTTGGAGTAAAAAATAATGACAAATTGTATTATAATGTCTCTAAGGGGTTTCGTGAACCTATGCTCAAGGCTCTTCCTTATAAATACTATACAAAATTTCAACAAACAACTTTATTCATATCGAGACATTTTTACTAGAGCTAATAATTGAAATATCAGTATCCTTCATAATCATACCATTCTATGTACATACATATATATTGTATTAACTAGTGATTACGACCGCCTAGTTAATTTGGAGCTTTTCCTTGACATAAAAATGAGAATTTTATAAAAATTAACATATTACGTGACCAATTAAATATATACATTTGTATGTTTATTTACCGCCATTTTCTTGAGAATTTGTCACCTGTAACAGTTCCATTGCTATCATGGATTGGTAAGTGAAGCTCAAGTTACAACTCATGGTGAATCGGCAACTATGCGTCGCCATTTTACACGAACCGTCCTGTGAGCTCGATGTTCGATTCAATCCATTTACATCGCTAAATTAAATAATATTATTAGTAAATTTATTAGTTGTCACAAAAGTTTTGCTTTTAACCCTTTTATTAGTCATTCGAAAGTTTTACGTATACATACTCATATATATGTATGTACATACGTGGCTCTTAGTTGCGTGCAACGTGATTATTTGAACGTTTAGTGGAATTATCTATGAATAGTTTTGACCCTAAAATTCACAAACAAATGTTCAAGGGGATTCTAATATTTACATTACTTATAAATATACATACATACATATGTGTAAGGTGATTTTTAAGAGTTATAGACTTGCCTAGAGCGACAGCTGTCAAACTAACTGTAAACACAAAAGTTTGACATTTAAGATATATTCAGAAATCTATCTTTTCATAAGAAGGACAAAAACTTTCCCTGTTTAAGGGGTAGTATTGTACTCTCAAGCTCTGTCAAATATCACGCAGTTATCCTAAATAATAAACTAAGCTGGACAAAATACATTGAAAGCAGGCTTCCAAAGCTCTTCGAGTCTGGAACTCCTGCAGAAGAACCATTACGAAACCGACTTATTCGCCGACAGATCAAAGGCTGAAAAAGGACGGGTTAGACCGCTCGGTGGCGGCTTGAGACGCAATTCCCTAAGCTGTCCCAATTCAGTCGTTCAGCTCGTTCAAAGGTTGTTTGAAGCCATGGACCCTAGAGGAACATCTCAGGTCATAAAACACAAGCAACATACAAGTAGTTCCTACCACAAAGTTACTTTGGGGCCGTGTTAATGGTGGACAAATCAAAATGCTCCTACTTCTAGGCAAATAAGAGCTAAGTAACATTGCAGGCGTCATCACAGGGCACCTACCCTTAAGATCCCACTTTCAGAATATGAGAAAAGTGGAGCAGCATGCGCGGAGGATGATGAGACGCTGGAACATTAGCAATGCGAATGCCCAGCCTTTAGCCATATGAGGATTCCACGGCTCTCAATGCTCCAACTTGAGAGACATTGGACAGCTGGAGTGGAAAAGAACCAGGTTTTTACCAAAACCATTGAGGTGATGGATAAGGCTTAAGGTTACCACCTGGGAGCCCATTCCATTGGACTACTTTTTTGATGCTTACTGGACCGACCAGTTGATATTTATGAGACGGAGTCTCCGTAGACGAGTGCGTTTCATTAAAAACATGTTCTTTATCCTCAAAAAAAACACCCGATTTACGTATGTAAGTATGTACAAATGTATATGTAAATGCAAGCGAATAAGCATATTGCTTAGATTAAATTATTAGACGCACTACAATAAATGCATTAAGCAGATTTGCTTATGTAAAAGATTAAATAATTTAATTTCAAAACAATCTTTGATTGATTAGGTCCTAAAGTAATAGCCCTCAAATACAATACAATGCTTCTTCCAGTCCTCAAAGCAATTTAGATTAGTTCTCAATGATATAATCTTAAGTTCTTCCAGTTATTTCACAAATCTGCAAGGGAAAACTTATCCATATCTATATCATATATAAATACCAATACCACCCTTATGTTCTCACAAACGAACGTTATATATATTGCTACCATATATGTACATACATATACTTAACTGTGAAAGACAGGGAAAATTGCTACATACTGTACTTTATTCGAAAGAAATACTGTAGAAATTCGAAACCACCTTACTTTTTGAGTAAACCTCGTATTTAAGTGGGTTTTTCTAAATTTCATAACTAATATATTATTGTTCAAATATCCTTACGAAATTCTATGAATATAACATTTACTGAAATATGCATAACTGACAGTAGTTAGAGTGTTAATATTTAATTGAAAATCTGGGAAAATTGATTGATAAGATCTTTGAAATATTTACATCTTACTCATACTACCATAATATATAATATATATTAAATGTGCATATTACAACTAATTTTTCATACTAAGAAAGCGTTATGAATTAAGAGTAACCTCTAAAGGGTGTTCTTTTACTACTTTTATTTCTAATAAATGGAAAAAGGTAAATTTTCTGGATTTTGGTGTTAGAAGAGAAAGAATTATAAAATAATTTCCGGTATATGGTCATTACGAACGCGTCTTACTTGTATAAAGGGTGATCTTCTCATTTGGTAAAAATGTTGGTAGTCTTCTTTTTGATGCCATATAGCCTGGAGAGTCTTTTAAGGATGCCACATGTCAAATACGGCAAAGTTGCTTATTTATATACCCATTAGAATATGATTTGATGGCAAAAAGGAAAATGTAAATTTGACATGAGTTTTATAAATAAATGTCCAGGATTTCTATCCATTTACTGAACATAAATGTGCGACACTGGTTTTATTTTGACAGCTTGTTAGACAGCTATCTCTATAATAAAATATATACTACCAAAGCATCACCCTATATAAATACATGCGTATATATATGGATGGGGGAAAATTTTAGGGAAATTAAATATTTAATAATTATGTTTACTATCATTGTCTATACCTGGAATTAGAGACACAAATTCCTCTAGCGCCAGCGAAGGAAACCGGCTGCCGCGCTTACTTTAAATACAGTCGGCAGCGGTAACTGCTCGTAAAAGTATATAAACGTACTGAAATTGTTAGAAATTTATAAAAATACAAATTTTAAATTTTTTGAAATATTTGTACTTAACTTCCGTGTTGCCAAAATGAAAATTGAAATCTCCTTAATGGCATTATTGAGTGTAGCAACAATTAGTGCGCTCAGTCTTGAAGGGTACAAATGTAGCGACCACGCTATATTGACTGGCGATACTGTGGCGCCAATACGCACAGTACGAATTTGTGGTGTAAAGGATTATGTTGGGGCGCCAAGCTATGCAAACTATCAAAGTTCAGATTCAGGAGTTGAGAAAAGAGGTAAGAAAATACTTTGCTTTTTTTTATTCAAAACTTATATTTATTATTGTGAATTTGTATTTCTAGCGTATCCTTCTGAGATCCTGGAAACATTAAACTATCCTTTAAGCAAGGACATTGACGCCAACTCAAGTAATTTAAAAGAAAAGTATCACACAACGCTACAGAAATTGGGTTCAATTGATGCGGAAGCATTACAGACGAAGCGCTCTGTCGAAGATGTCGCCGCGTCTGTGAAGAATATATTTGATATTTTGAAAAATACAAAAACGGAGAGAACAATTAATGTTGAGCTGCATTTAGAACCCTCCGTAGAAGCTTTACTAAAAAAGTTCCTTCAGTTAGCAACGGTATATATCAGCACAGAAAGCCCTGTTAATGTTCACACACCAAAAGCAACAAAAGTGTCTAATGAAAGTACTTCCGATGAAAATAATACCGAAGAGCGTGAAAATACTGCAGAGACCACGGAGGATTACGCTAGTTGGATTCGCTCGCATTTCGGACCAGCCACAACGACTACCGAAAAATATTCTGACTAGAGTTTTTACTCAACAAATGATGAGAGTTCGGAAGAGAGCTCATTAATTTCACAATAACAATTCTACGAGATATCTCAACTGTGATCTTAAAGTAAATTGGCATTTGCACTAAACATCGAGGAAATAAACTTATAGAATACCATGTACTTACATATGTATGTATAGCATAAAAAAATGAAAATATCCGAAATATGTGTAGGCTCTCCTCGCAAAAGGGCCATACAAAACATAACATTAAATTCGACACGAGGCTTAAAACTTTAACATCATATAATTAATGCTACGTAAGGTCAAAAAACAAAAAAAAAATTCTCTCGATCCGTTACAACTTTGTTTGTTTCTTCACTACTCTTCGATTCGTTCGATACAATTATGGGTGATGGAGTTTCCTCACTACTCTTCGATTCATTTGAATCATCGAAGCGTATTTCAGTTTCCTCAATACTCTTCGATTCGTTCGATTCCGTTACAACTTTGTTTGTTTCTTCACTACTCTTCGATTCGTTCGATACAATTATGGGTGATGGAGTTTCCTCACTACTCTCCGATTCATTGGAATCAATCACGACTGTATCAGTTTCTTCGGTTTCTTTCGTATCTCCGTCACTATGTAAATTGGATCATCAATTATTATGGTGTTTTTATATGCTGTAAGACATTTAATAAGTCTCTCTCTTAGAAGCCCTGAACCGTTAAGGTTAGAGAATAAGCCGTTTGATTGCAGTGGAATTTTGTTGCATTTTAATTTTTCTTCCATTTCCGTTGCATAGTTATCTATCGCCATTTACCACTTCTTCAACTATTTCGCTTGGTTCCAGTGAATGCATTGTTGTTGGCACAAATATATAATCATAATTATAACTGCCGGTTTCTTCATTGCTCTCTGTAGTTTCTAAGCTTACCGTATTTTCCTCGGAAGACTTTATTATATCGTCAAACTTAGAATCAAAAGTAACATCTAAATATTGGTTATTATTCTCTTGCGTATTTTCGACACTTTCTTTTGAACATTCTCCTGACTTTGTGCAGAATTATGCGTTCGTTGATCTAAACTACTGTAATCCGTTGGTGTTTCAGTTGTTTGTTCCGATAAACAGCATTGAACAGGATTCAAAACTTTCTTCCGATCTCTCTACAGAATTTTCCTGCTCGCTGTTGTCTGTATCTTCGTCGTACGTCGACGTCTTTACAATCGGACCGAAATGTTCACGCATCCATTTATCAAAATCTTCAACTGAACTATTTCCTTCATATTCCTCTGTGGCATCTTTTCGGTCGAATGTTCTGCACTGTCAACTTGTGCTTCGGTTACTTGCTCCTCGAACTTTTTCGTTCGTATATGCTGTTGAGTAAAAGCTAGCATTATCCTCCGAGTTGTCATCACTGCTGTCTTCAATGCGCTCAGTTGAGGTTGGCTCTTATTGTCTTCGCTATTCACCTCGTTTTTTTTAGAGCCATGAAGTCTCTTAATAACGCTTCGAGGCTGGGCTCCAACTTCAAATTTACATTAACATTTATATCCTTCTGCTGATTGGCGTTTTGTATGCAAAAGTATCGAGCATATCTTAATGTTAGTGACGACTTCATTCACCGAACTCTTTATCTCACTTGTATCTTCGGTAATCGAGCGCAGCTTCTTTGCAGCAAGCGCTCCGCTTCCATTAGATGACGGGAATTCGTAGGGTAACCTGTGGTTGCTCCATGTGTGG